TCACAGGTATTTCTTTAATATATCTATTGTCTGTTTCATTACATTTCAAGGGTTAAAAAACAAACACATGCATGTTCTTCTGGTTCTGATCATTGGAAAGCCAAGACCAAGATATCTGCAGATTTGTTTTTTCCTGAAGGATTCCTCTATGATTTGGGGATGGCCACCTCTTTTCTGGTTCTGACACATTGATTTTTCTGTGTGTGTTAACATGCATACTCTCTGACTTTTCCAATAAGGGCATTAGTCATATTAAATTTGGAAGTGAACATCCAGCATCTGAGCAATGACTTCTGAATAACTATAACTGGGATAGATTCTGTGGGGTATCCAACTGTAAGTACCAAGCTTAAGAGCTGGGAGTAGTGATGAGTTCAGTTAGACATGACTATGGAACCTATTAACATTCATGGTTGCTGGGGTTGGGAACAGGCTGGGTATGTCCAGAATGCAATACCCACAAGTGTACCCTAAAACAGAGTGTAGGGCGGGCCGCACAACATCATCCACCAGCTCATACAAAGGCCAGGATGGAGGGAGAAGGCTAGGCTGTGTATGGGCCTAGCACCCACTGGCATACATGAGATTTGGTTTGGGAGTGGGCCTGGTGGGAGAAGTCGTGAAACTCCCCTGGTGGACCATACCTTCTGCTGGTGAGCACATGGTTCATGCCCAGCTGTTGGTCAGGCCAGGCAAGGTAGCTCCACCCATCGGTAAGTATGTGAGTTGATTTGGAAAGGGAATGGGCTATGTAAGGCTGGGTAAATCTTAGCCCACTGGCAAATACAGTAGCCAGGATAGAGTGTGAGTCACAATTGGCTAGGCTATCACCTTACTAGTTTGCATGATCCCAGGGATGAAAGTAAATTGAGAAGGGCCAGGATGCAGCACCTGCCAGTGAGAGGTAGGACTTGGGGACTGGGGGATGGCCAAGTCAGGCCAGCCAGGCCGCAGCATCCAAATATAAAGGCCAGGGGATATTCAAGCTAGATCAGAGCAACCACTGGCACATGCAAGATCTGGGGCTGGGAACAGGCCTGATTGATGAGTTAAGAGGATATCATCGCTGGGCTGGTGTTACCATTGGTGAACAAGAGCCAGAGGGGGGCAGTGGGCTGCAATTTTATCTGGACATAACTGCAATGTCCCTCAGCATGGGTGTGGACTGGGTCTGGGGTGCACCAGACTGGGCTAGACTCCAGCACCCATTGGTTCTCGTGAGAGCCAGGAAGGGTATGGGCTGCGCTCAGCTAAGTCTCAGCCCCTGCTGAACTACACATGAGCTGTGTCTAGGTGTGAACCAGGTTTGGCTTGGCTGTAGCACCCAACAGTAAGAAGTGGAACGGGTGTAGGCTGGTTAGGAAAAGCCATTTTTCCTGCTAGGACAAGAGGTGGACTAAGTTGGGCTGGGCCATGGACCCGCTGGTGTGCAGAAGATCTGGCATTGGGAGAGATTCTGATGGAAGATCCTGGGAAACTCCTGTCAAGATGCAGGCCCTGCACACGAGCACAAGAACCAAGGCAAGAAGCAGCTTAGTCTTGAGCAGCCTAGACCAGGCTAACTTACAGTATCCACCAGCATATATGTGACTCTGATCTGGGGCGGTGAGCCAGGCTGGGCCAGACCACATCACCCACTGACAATCCGAGAACCAGAATGGGGTGTGGAACAAACTGGGAAGGGTCACAATATGAAGCAGTTCACAGTATGGCTGGGAGTAGGGGCGGGCTGCTGGACTAGGCTGTAGCCTCCACCAGCATGAACTAGAACTGGGGGTGGGTCAGGTCAGGGTACAGCCCCCACTTCCAAGTTGAGGTGAAGCATGCCATGCCGGACTGGGTCACAGCACCCAACCAGCACATGTGAACCCCAGGATTCGGAGTGCAAATCTGGTAAGAGGACTGAAGTGGGCTCCCCTGTTGGACCACTACCTCCACTTGTGAGCATGAAAACTGGGATCAGGTGCAGACCAGACCAGGCAGGGCTACAAAACCTGTTAGCCTTCATGTGAGCCAGGTTGGGGGTAAGCCAGCCTGGGCTAACTGTACCCACTTGTGCATGCATAAGCCAGAGTGGGTGTGGATTAGTTTGGCTTTGCTGCAGCATCAGCTGGCAAGTGCTGGTACTGGGGGCAAATCCTGTCATGCTAAGCTGCAGAACCACCTGGAGAATGCGAGATCTAGGAGTGGGAGTGGACCGAGTAGGGCAATTGTGGACACCTCTCACTTGGTTTTCCACTCCCACTAGTCAGTATGAGAACGAGGGCTGCCAATATTGCCACTCCACGCATGATGAAATCCCTCCAGAAGCCACTGGCTGACATAGTGTACCTTCGAATACCATTTGCCCAGATATTCACCACTAACACTTTGCTAGGGTAATTGAACAATGTCTTCTGCACTGGTACCAGGTGTCCTCTGCAGCCTCCAATGGAAGTGGGTGCTGGATTCCCGCTTGAATGTCAGGGACCCAAGTATTTGGGCCATCTTCCACAACCTTTACATTACACTAGCAGGAAGCCAGACAAGAATTGGAAATGGCCCCAGCTATAAGCAACTTCCTAGATTGTCTTGCACCTAGCCAAGTGTTACCCTGCTGGGAGAAAAACAGCCAATGACTGGCTGACATTCTGGGTCTGATTCATGCCATCTCTATGTTAGCTATACCAGTATGCCAAAATAGTTGCTCATTTAATGTTAAATCTGCAAAGGGGTTGGTAGAGAGTGGGCCTCAACCACCACTGCCTAGTTCCTAAGGCCAGATTGGGGGGCACTGAAAGTTTCTGATGTGACAGAGCTGTAGCCCTGGGGCTCCCCATGCGATAGAACATGTGTGTGCATGATACGCAGTGTTAGGTGGGTTGAGTAGGGAGGCTTGAGGGCCAGCACCATGGGTCTTTATGGACCAGGTTGCTCCATCTACCACTACTTGAGAGAGCTGAAACTCGGGTTGGGCGAGGCAAGCAGGCCTAAAAGGCCTCCCTGAGCCAGGATGCTGTACCCATTGTCAGGGGAGGCCCACTAATTGCTTCTAGCTTTGGCAGTGGCCTATCCTTAATGTTGGCCTTAGACATATCAGGATCTCAGTTCTAAAGGACCAGATCTGTGGGTGTGTAATCGGTGTGGCATAAACATTATATAATTAGATCATCTATGTTATTGACTCTTTTGCAAAGACACTGACAATATCTCAGAGTAATAATGAGGATATGGGGAATATGGCAATCTGCACTGAATGGAATTTCTCCAGCTTATGAGGATTTATTACATGAGATAGGTATGTTTTGAATCCAGGATATGCAACCTTCATTCACCTAAATCAGCAGAAAGTAACTGCAGAAGATGTCATGAATCTTCACTCTTTAGCAACTCTTTCATTAAGAGTTGCAAATCTCTGGGATTGAAATGAGACAGGCAAGCAGTTAGGTTAGGGACAGAAGCAGAAGCCAGGCTCTCCTGGTTCTTTGTAAATCCCAACCGCCTATCAATCAAGTGACCTCTTTCCCAGGACATGCCTCCCCTCACCAGGCACCTAGGGTGGTATCCTTAAAACACTCCTGTTTGTAAGATCATATAAAAACTGGCTAATGGAGGGCCAATCTCTCTTCCCATGACATAGAATGGAAGGTAGAAATATTTCCCTCCTTCTCTCTTCCCAAAACATTATACCCCAAGATATACCCTACTAGTATCTATGATCTTCTTACCTTTTAAATAAACCTAAGTAAAATTTTGAAAATAAAGTTTAAAAAAAAGAAGTGGACATGGACACCAACCAGTACTGATACGGTATATCAGTTGCAAGACACTGTTTTAGCCTACCTGCACCACAAAACCAATATTCAGTTTTTTCCTTTTAATTTCTTCTTCACTATCTCAACCTACAATATTTTCTTTATGGGCCTCAATTTGCTATTATTTATTTCTATTTATGAGTTTACAAGCAAATAGATATTTAATTTTCCCCTTTGTTACTACCTCATTCTTTTCACTGGTGATCTTTTTCTAGTCTTTGAATCTACTCTTTCCTCTCATTATTTTGAAATTTTTCACTGAATATCTTCATTTTCTTTTCTTTTCCCACAGTCTTTTCCTTTTTGTACTTTATTCTTTTTTCACACACAAGCATGTACATACACACTCACTGCTACTCTTTCTTTTGTCTCTATTTTTACACTCATTCTTTAACTTCACAGTAGTCCCTCTGTGTGTGCTTGTACATTTGTGGATATTTAAAAAGTCATGAGAATTTACTGTTCACTGTTGGATTAGCCATGGCTAGCCTGTGGCTTTGGTTTTCAAAAACTGTTGCTGTTATTTTGGGGGAAATACATATTTTGGAGCCCTTATGTTTCCAAGCAAGTTATAGGGTCAATTTTCCATAACTACTGGAAATACAACTGATATTTTGATAGACAATTGGGAAAATTATTGCTGTCTTAACAATGGTCCTTTTTTAAAGATTTATTTATTTTTATTAGAAAGTCAGATATACAGACAGGAGGAGAGACAGAGAGAAAGAGCTTCCTTCTGATGATCTACTTCCCAAGTGACTGCAACAGCTGGTGCTGTGCCGACCTGGAGCCAGGAGCCAGGAGCCAGGAACTTCCTTCAGGTCCCCCACACGGATGCAGGATCCCAAGGCATTGAGCCGTTCTTGACTGCTTTCCCAGGCCACAAGCAGGAAGCTGGATGGGAAGCAGGGCTGCAGGCACCCATATGGGATCCTGGCGTGTTCAAGGCGAGGACTTTTAGCCGCTAGACCATGGCGTCTGGCCCTACAACAGTTTTTAATCCATGAACATATGTCTTTCAACTTATTTAGGTCCTCTAATTTCTTTCAGTAATATTTTCTATTTTTGGTAAATAAGTCAGACCCTTCTTTCGCTAAATTTATTCTTATTTCCCATGTTCAAACAACAAAAAATGAGTGCACATATATTATGTAATTGTATTATTCAAGAGTTGACAAAATAATAAAACTATTCATATACATTTTTAAATATATACACCAGTTTATTATGCTTTTTGTGATGTAAAATATCTATAGTGAAGAATATTTCCTAATACTATCAGTAAAATCATTTGACATATATCTGCTGTGAATGGTTGGTTCGAGAATAACAATATAGTCATTTGTAACATATTATCAGCAAATATTGGCAATCTTACCTGCTTACTTCTTTGCTCATTGAGACAGAATATTAACTATATCCTTATGTGGCTATCCTATTATCAAAATTTGTTCTAGTTCAATATTTCATTTTATTGTTTAACAATCACATACTAGTATCTTTCTCTTATAATCATATATTGTATTTAAGGAAAGCTATGAACTTTCATATTTCTTCATTCCCATTATCATCAGTAAATTCTGCCTTTTCCAGTCCAGAGCCTGGGTGACCCACACAGCTGAACTTAAAGAATGCACCCATCCTGGTTTTCACACTCCTTTCAATATAATCTAATGAATTTTCTTCATGGAATCCAATTTCAAAGTGGCAGGATCCCTGTGTTGCTCTCATGAAAACGTATCCCAATTTTTTTTTTCAAATTCAGCCAAAGATATTGGTTCAAATGTAAAACAAAGTAAGAGAAATATGAGAAAGCTTAAACTGATCTCACCAAGGAACTATTTTTTAAAAAAAATTTTAAGGCCTTCTGTTTAATTCATAGTTATTTGGCCATCATCTCTTCTGTCTTCATTGAGAAAAACAAAACAAACAAAAGCAAAATCTGCTAGGGTGAATAATATTTAATAACAGATTTTTATGTTCTCTTGGCCAGTATATGTATTAATGGCATGAATTTCATTTTGGTTACCTCTTTGCTTTTGAGAAAAATACTTAAATACTTGTCCATATTGGCAAAATCACATTTTACTTCTGCAAACAAAAACTGAAGCAATGCCATTTTCAGAAAAATATCCAATTAAAAATGTTTCATTATTTAATTTCTAAACAGCCACAGACATAAGAAATAAGACCTTTAAATGCAATTTGAAACACAACAGAATTTTTTCTCAAGGAAAAAAAAAACACTTCTAAAAGTACCAGGAAGGTAAAAATACCATAAAATAACCAAAGACTGCACATCATTAGTAAAAACTGTCAGCTGTTACAATATAATTACACAGAAGGAAAAGGACACTATCAGAAACGATCCTTTAAGAATTGGTTGTATCATTCCAAACTGATGGACAGGAGTGAGCTCTGATATCATTATGCTTAGAAATGGCTTCATCCAGGTCCAACTGTATACCATTAATATTCACTTCCATGCAGCCATTATAGAAGGCATTCACTGGTGTGGCATTGAAGGGAACATCTGTAAAAACAGAGAAGTACCTATTAGTAATAATGTTTGCCATCTTATTTGCTAACAATTAAAGGAGTTGTTTAAATTTTTCATTTTCAACTAAATTTTAATCCTAATGGAAAAGTTCATTATTTTTAATAGTATAAGCTGTGATTATCATGTGGGGCCTGGATAAGCTACCCTCTGAATCCTGTACCTTTTAGGATTATAACTGTTGGAACTACATTCCATAGTCACCTGGCTTCAGCAGGAGAGATGTAAGACCCCACTAGATTCTACAGTTCTGAATCAGTGATGCTCTGTAAAACCCAGGGACATCTTTGGTCACCTGGGAGTTCTCAGGTAAGGGCTTATCTGGGTCTTACTGATCCAGACTTCTACTGCCAGTGCTCAATTCCATGTATAATCAACCTGTGGGAGGCGCATAAGGTACTCTCAGAAGCCCATAGTGACTTGGGAGAATCTTAAATGAACTCCTATACTCTAGACCCATGCCTGCCAGTGTGCAGTCTGCATTATAACCTGCAAAACAGACCAAGTAGAGCAGTTTCTGATCTCAAAAATAACTTCCGGAATAAACTAATCAGACCAAAATACAGAGGAAAGAATAATATAAAATTAAGAAAACCTACAAGATATAAAGGATAGTATTAAACAAACAAATATTGGTATCAAAGGAACACTTAAAATAGAGAAAGGGGAAAGCCGTGAAGAATCAAAATAATGGAAAATCATTGAAAAAAGATCTAGCAATCCATATAGCAGAAGCTCAAAAAGTCATAAGCGCACTTGAAAAGACCTTTTCCAAGACATAGTGTGATCAAATTGTCAAAGGTGAAGGAAAACAGAATCCCAAAGACAGTGAGAGAAACAGCAGCCTTCTCAGCAGGAATTCTGTCGGCAAGAAGAGATGGACTTGGATGAAAACAACACAACGATATCAGACATGAACCCTACCATAGAGCAAACAAACCTACGGGCATTTACGAACATTTCATGCAACAGCTATGAAATACACCTTTTTATCAACAGACAGCATAGTTTTCAGAATAAACTATAGAATAAGCCACAAATCAAGTTTCAGTCAACTAAAAAAAGAAAGAGAGAGAGAGAAGTTGCACCATGTGTCTTCTCTAGCCACAAAAGAATAAGACTAGAAATTAATAATTGAATAACTTCTAGAAATCAATAATTGAATAACTTCTCTGAATGACCAAAGGATTATTCAAAAATTAAAAATAAAACTATGTGAATAATTTCTCTCAATGATTAATTGATGATTCGGGAAATTAAAAATGAAATTTAAAAAATTCTTAAAACCAGTACAATAAAGTTGTACTGGTTCAACAAAACCACTACAATAAAGTTTATAGTAATTACTGTATACATTTAGAAATACAAATATTTTAAATAAGGAATGTAATGATGCATTTCAACAACTTAGAAAAGAACTAACTGGAGAAAAAGAAAAAGCAAAAGGTGAGAAATAACAAGGAGTAAAGTAAAAATAAATGAAACTGAAAGTAAAAACAAAATAGCAAAAGCTCCACAAAATGGAAAGTTGGTTTATTGAAAAGATAAACAGAACAGAGAAATCCTTAGCCAGACTAACAATCAGAAAAAGATACAATTTTTAATAAACACACAGAAAACAAAAAATAGAGGTGAAAGGAATTACAACTGATAATACAAAGGATCATAAAAACTATTAAAAACCACACAGCACAAAACAAGAAAACCATGATTCAGAAAACCATTAAAATAAACCGAGAACAAGGAACATGGCCAAGGCATAATTGTCTCTATCCAGGAACTGATGGCTTTACAGCTGAACTCTTCAAAGCACTTGAAGAGGAACGTTTCAAACTATTCTTTGAAACCATTCCAGAATCCTGAGAATGAAATACTGCCTGCCAAATTCTTTTTATGATATCAGCATTACGTGATACCAAAACCAATGAAAAACAAAGACTACAGATCAATATAGACGCAAAATTCTCAAAATACTTGAAAACTGAATCCATCAGTGTGTCAAAAGGATCATACATCATGATTAGCAGGATTTATCTGGACTACGCAAGGGTGGTTCAAAGTCACAAAGCAATAAGCAGATATCACATTATAAGAATGAAGAACAAAACCATATGATCATCTTAATACGTATAGAAAAATTGATATTAGTCAACATCCTTTTATAATAAAAAAAGCTCTTAAGATATTAGATATGTAAAAGAACATACCCCCAAATTAAGACCTACATATGACAAGCCCACAACCAACACACTGAATGTGGAAGAATTGAAAGCATGTCTGTTCCCAATTCAGTATACTGTTGGAGCAATTAGTAAAAGCAATTATGGAGGGGAAATTAAGGACAATAAGTTTGGAAAGGAGGAAGTCAAAAATCCATGTTTACAAATAAATGACTTACACATGGAAAAACCTAAGCCCTCCACAAAATGAAAAGCTGTTGGAATTTATAAAATAATTTCGGTAAATTCACAGGATACAAAAATCAATATGCAAGATAATTTTGCATGTTTACTCAACCATAAGGATTTTTCTGAAAAGCATACAGACTCCATTTGTAACTACAAAAAGTAAATATTCAATAATAAGTTTAAACAAAGAAGTGAAGATCTCTCTGATGAAAATGATAACACTGCTGCAAGAAATCATCAAAGCTACAAAAATCTAAAAGATATTCCTTAGCTATTAAAATGAAAAAAATCATTATTGCTAAAAAGCCCATTTTATCTAAAGCAATATACACTTTTAATACAAAAGCTATCAAAATACCAATAACATTCTTTCACAGAATTAGAAAAACAATCTGAAATTCAAATTACATCACAAAAGCCTCAGAATAATCACAGCAAGTGGCGACACTAAAATGACGAGGCACGCTCTTGAGGGTCCGGAAAAAGCTGGAACTGCAACCGGACCCCTCACTGCAAAAAGCAGCTGCATTTAAATCCTTATCTCTGCTGCTCCTGACCCCATTGGTCTAAGCTTTCCTCTGCCGCTTTTTCCCATATTTCTTCCCATACTTTCTGCTGCATTTCTCCATCCTTGTCCCCGTCTTTTCCTCCCTGTACGCCTTAACTTTTCCACCCAAAGATCTAAACCCTTCTTCCCCTCTCTGCTGCCCCATTCTTCCCATTTCGTCCGTCATTCTTTCCCCAGTCTTTCTCCTCGTCGCCCCCCAATCCTCTGTTGTCTGTCACTCTTTCTTGTTGTTGCAGTCCGTCTGTTGTCCGTTGTAGCCTGCCGCCTAGCTTTGACCAGCCACTTTTATATCATTCTCCACCAATCACTTCTCCGCGTGGGTCCACTTGGTACTACCTGACAGGCCAGTAGCAATGTCATAATCACAGCGGGGCATTAGCCTATCCCTGTGACTTCCTGTTTACCTGCTGGCGAGACCAGCTCCACCTTCAGGTCCTGGGCCAGGCGCCATCTTGCAAGGGCCCCTCCCAAATCCCAGGAGCGACATTAGCCCCTGCTCCCCACAAAAATAGGCTGCAGAAATCATAATATCTAGCTTAAAAGCACTCTACAAAGTCTTATTGACTAAAGCAGCGTGGTATTAGCATAAAAACTGACCACAGGCCAACTGAACAGAATGTAGAACTGGGAAATAATCTTTATGTTATAGAATCTATAAATACGGCCAACTGATTGTTTACCAAGGTACCGAGCCCATACATTGGAGAAAGAACAGTCTTCCCAACAATGGTAAAATAATGGCGCCACAGGAAGACAACCATCGTCTGTCCTTCCTCGTGTATAGAAGCAAAAAGGGAAAAGTAAAGAAAACACAACACAGAACAGCCATTACTAGAGGCTGAAATGAGGAGAGTGGAAGAGAAGTAATTTGGATAATGGGTACCTAGCCAGTCAGACTGAAGGAACCGGAGACAATACAATGTATATCTCTTTCCAAACACAACAAAGAAACACAAACACTAGCATTGTGTTGGCATGTGCTAGCATTGTGTTGGCATGTGCTAGCATTGTGTTGGCATGTGCTAGCACTGTGTCGGTGCAGCAAGTTTAACTGCCATTTGAGGTGCTGGTGTCCTACACCAGAGTCCCCTGCCGGAGTCCGGCTGCTCGGCTCCTGATCCAGCTGCATGTGAACGTGCATGGAAAGGCAGCAGGGACTGGAGCAAGCACGTGGATCCCTTCGTGCACAGAAAGGGCTGTGTGGAGCTCGGTTCCTGGCTTCGTCTTGGACCAGCCCTGACTGTTGTCATCTGGGGAGTAAACCAGCAGATGGAAGACTTCCTACTCTCTGTGCATCATTCTGTCTTTCAAACAGTAAAATAAATTTAAAAACTCAATAAATCAATTTTCAAAATAAATAAATATTAAATGCTTGATGAAATGTACCTATCTATTTTCTCATTAGATAATGCATAATATAGACATGTATTAAAATATCACATGGTACCCCCAGTTAGATATGATTTTTATGTGGATATATTTCTTTTAAGATTTATTTTATTTCTATTGCAAAGTCAGATATACAGAGAGGAGGAGAGACAGAGAGGAGGATCTTTTGTCTGATGACTCATTCCCCAAGTGGCTGCAAAGGCCAGAGCTGAGTCAATCCGAAGCCAGGAGCCCAGAGACTCCTCTGGGTCTCCCACACAGGTGCAGAATCCCAAGGCTTTGGGCCATCCTCGATTTCTTTGCCAGGCCACAAGCTGGGAGCTGGATGGGACGCGTGGCTGCCAGGACAGGAACTGGAGCCCACATGGGATCCTGGCGTGTATAACTCGAGGACTTCAGCCACTAGGCTACCATGCTGGGCCCTTTATGTGGATATTTTAAAGCTTTTTGTTTGTTTTAAGGATAGTTAGCTTCCAGAAAAAAGAATAATGGGATAGGAATTGTGTCTTCTTTTCTAATACCTTTGCCAAAAAGATATATTTGGTTACAATAGTGCTGTAAAACTAAAGAAAAAAACAACATTACCTGGAAGGCCACCCAGATAAGTGGTCACTGTTCCTCTCATTGCTCTGTCCAGAACAGCAAGTTGGCTTTGAAGGTCATCGGAGTGGATGGCGTCTTTTCTAAGCGGAGTTGACATGTCCAGGTTGTTTCTGTTGACTCTGAATTCCAGTTGTGACTGCTGACCGGAACACAGATTTAGCGCCTCAATCCTGTATATTACTACATTTTCAACAGACACCAAAACATCCTGAAGAGCAAAGACAAAATATAAGCAACAAGAACAATGCCTTTTAGGAGAAATTTCTGATTTTTTACATTAAAAAACAACAGCTAAATAAAACCTGTTTGTTTTTTGGCCCTAGCACATTAGCCTAGTGGCTAAATCCTTGCCTTGCATGCCTGGGATCCCATATGGGAGCCAGTTCATGTCCTGGCTGCTCCCCTTCCCATCCAGCTTCCTGCCTTTGACCTGGGAAAGCCGTCGAGGATGGCCCAAAGCCTTGGGACCCTGCACCTGCGTGGGAGACCCAGAAGAGTTGCTGGCTCCTGGCTTTGGATCAACTCAGTTCTGCCGTTGTGGCCACATGGGGAGTGAACCAGTGGACAGAAGATCTCCCTCTCTGTCTCTCCTCTCCGTATATCTCACTTTCCAATAAAAATAGGTAAACCTTTTAAAAAAAAACTGGGGTTTTTTTTGTAATTATTTATTTAAAAGACAGAGCAACAGAGGGAAAAACATAGCAAGCAAGCAAAGAGGCTAGGGGTGAGGCAGAGATGTCCTCTGTACACTGAGGCCCTGCTGAGACACCCAGAGCAGGCCAGGCCACGTCAAAGCCTGAACCCCATCTGGACATCCCACAGGGCAGGCTGAGAACTGAGCACCTGACTTCAGGTGTAGCAGCTCCCCCCTGCTGCCTCCCAGAGCGTGCACTGACTGGGATTGCATTGGAAGTAGAGGCAGGACTTGAACCTCAATACTCTGATAATAGTATGCAGGCATCCCATGCAGCAGCTTAACTGCTACAGCACAATGCCTCCTTCGAAAAAACTGAATCTTCATGGGGAACAAAAAGTATGATAAAGCCCTCAAGGAGCATGAAAAAATATTAATTGTAATAATCCTCCTTTTGTTTTAGCAAACTGCAAACTGAGCTAAAATGAATATGTAAACTGGCCTCTGAGATTCAATAAACCAACATGGTGCTTTTACTAAAACAGGGACCTGAAGTAGTGATTTAAGCTGTATCTGTCTAGCTCTGGCTTCTGTTTATGAGTCTTTTAATTTCAAAACTTAAATATGAAATAAAGCAGTTGAGTTACTATTTGCTAGAGCAAAGCCTTAAAAATTTACAGTGCTTCGGAACAACAGCCAGGAGCCTGAGTGGTCCGCAGAAACAGAACAGTAAACTTCCTTCAGGACTAGGGAGCGGAGCTTCCTCTGGTCCTTACTTAGTTCCAACTTTGGATCCCCACCCTCTCTTGCAATGACCATCAGGGTCTCTCCCCCTCCCCCCCAAAAAAGCAAACAAAAAAAATTAGAATAGATACACAGAGAACAAGGAAAGCTTAGAACCAGACAGGAAATGGCCAGCGTGGACTCACACATACCTTACTAGGCAGGACACAAAGATTAGTTGCTCCTCACTAAGGTATTGAAGATTTCTCTGCACACCCCTCCTAAAACTGTGCTGTGCCTCAACTGTTGACATATGCCCTGTTAGAGTTATGAGCCAGTTTAGACTATCCTAAAATCTGCCAAGTTCAGTAAAAATTATGCTTCAACACTATAAACTGCTAAAGACTAAAATGAAAACACACACAAGACAGCTGAATAGTACCCCATACCAATTTTAAGGTGTATAGCAGCCGGTTGTATATAAACTAAAATTGAAATGTCAATGAAGTAGTCACAGGATGTGGTTAAGAACTTGCACTTTTTAACATACTGGTTACTCAATACCATGTCAATTAACTCCATAATGTTGTAAATTGTTATTGATGTTATGTTGGGGTTTTTAATTGGTCAGGATGATATTCTGTCAGCTCTGCCTTCAGACCAGAGATGGTCTCCCCAAGAAACCGTTGAATTTATCTGGACAATAAGATGCTGGACACTATGCAAAGTACATACTTGCAATGAAAGAACTGTGATTGTATTTGAACTGTAATACTGCAACTAGGTGGAGGAATCCACCAGGGGAGAGGGTATGGGGAGGGATTGGGGGAATTCCAGAGCCTATGAAACTGTGTCACATAATGCAATATAATTAATAAAAAAAAAGAATTTACAGTGCTTCACTATGCACATACCAGCAGGAGGAGAGGTTTATTTGTGTCATAGAAATAATCCAACAGACTCAGGACAGCCTTGAGAAAGGATCTCCCACAGTAAGTCAGAGCATTCCTGAGAAGATTCTCAAAAAAGAAAATGTAGTCTGTCTGCTGAATTTTCAAAATGATGATATACATGAAATACCAATCTGTTGACATCCATGCATGCAAATAGCCCATATGCGATTAAGCCAAGAAAAAAGTAAAAGGTGGAAGAAAAAATAAAATTAAAACTGAGAGGTGTTGCAATGCTCCCAGGAAGCATTTTGAAATAGCATTTTTAAATGTTTACTTAGGAATCCAAGATATCTATGTTGTTAGAAGTCTATACTTAAAAATGCAGGCACAGAAACAGCCAAGAAGATAAAGAGGGGGTAGAATAAAAATCAGAGTCACGGCATAAATAAACCTCCTCCAGTATCTGAACGTAATGTTGAAGACAGGAATTCAAAAACAAACGAACAAACAAAAAAGCAGGCAAATAAAAACTGAAATTCAAATGCAGTAATTGTATAAATTGTATATCTACAATGAGTATGTATATATATACACACTGACTAGTACTTTAAGACAGCCACTAGAACTTTCCCTTACTCCCAATCATTCTTCAAGCTGCAAATAGTCTTTTTCTATTGCTATATGTGTCATTCAAGTATATGTGTCTGTAAAAGTTACTGACAGCATTCAAGTCAACTCTTGCTGAAACATAAGCTTTGTTGTAACTTGATGAAACCCACTGTGGATGACACGTGAGAAGAACTATCAGCTTCTAGTAAAGGTCGGAATTATCCAGATATTCTGACAACTCTTACATGTTTCCTTTTATCCAAAACTTTCCTGTTTTTTCCTCATAATTTCAAAGAGGAGTTGCTGGAAAGAAGCCAAGTGGGTCAATATTAGTTGTCTCTCTCATCTCCTAATTTGCTCATGGGAGAAAAGATTATGAGTTCAAGAAAGCACACACATTATAATTAAACACTGAATAATCTGGGTGAATTGTTATCAGTCTCACTTCTCTTTTGTTAGCACAGACTAATTCCCACGCTGCTGCGAGGATTCTGAATAAGGGTAGATCTGTATGTACTCTGTGCTGGCGCCATCCAGCCTGTGTGGGAGTCTGCTGCAACTTGGCTAAAAATGCATTACGTTTTCAATCCCTCCTCCTCTGAACTTTTAGTTAAGACCTTAACTAAAAGCCAACAATAATGCAATAATAATGGTCATTCTTGGTCCTTCATGATGCGCTGGGGGATAGTAGCAGGTGCTTTTCACAAATCATGTCATAAATCTTTAAACTATCTCTTTGAGGTAACTATTATGATTAATTTATTTTGAAAATAAAAGGAACAATAAAGGAAAACAAGGCTCATTACAGGTTTAGAGTAGTTACCTGAAAAGCTTCAGCCGTAGAGTCCACCAAGGACAAGGCAAAGGGCACTGTGTTACCAGAAACCAAGGCAAACATTACCCCAGTACCAATAGATGGGCGGATGTTCAAGGTCACATTGACTTGCCATCCTTCAGCATAGGATATGTTATCTGCATATAAAATAACGAAACATAAGCGAGATCAACGAACTCCTAAGTTCACCAGAAACAATCATTATAATCTAATTAATATTCAGTTATCTTGACAAACTATAGATTCAATAATATTTTATATATATATATAATTTCAGTTCCTTTTCTCAAAGACCTAATCATCTAGGCAGATCAGAACATAAATTTCTTTAAATAAATGCAGACAAGAAACACACAAACAGAGCCGTATCCTTCAATTCGTCCCAGAAGGAAATTCTGAATTGTCATGTTAACGATTATTACCAATTTTCCATGTCTGCTCTTTCAAAGTTCTTCCTTCTACTTTGCATATTTCGGCAGGTCCAAAGTATCAAGTGGTTAGATTTTAAACCACACATCTAACAGGAAGTTTACTGTAATATTTTTTATTTCCTTACATGGCAAGAAAGAAAATTATGATCCAGATACATAAAGGAGTTGGATAACATGACAGTAGGGAAATATTCTGAAGTCAACTGTTGCTTTTGAAATCAGAATGGAAAGTCTCATTCTTTGATTCTCTATCATAATCCTTAATACTCACTTACATGATGACAGTTGACCACTCCAGTAAAGCGCACGCTTGAGGAGGTACATGTCTCTATTAACATGTCTTTGCTCTCCTCAGCAGTTAATAAATAAATATTTGTTGAATCAACATATTTTCAAAGTCATTGGAGTCCTAAAAATCACTTTACAAAGTAATGATGTATTACTCATTTAAGTGAATTAATATAATAAAGATTATAGGTCCCATTTGGGCCCTACCATAATAAAAGCCAAATTACCTGCATAAACACAACTTTTTTTTTTAATATCAAAGATCTGTCTGTTGCACAGCCACCAACTAACCAGAAACCAAAAAAAAAAATGACAAGGGTTTTCAAGGCGAGACAAGATGAGAGCATTCCTTTACCCAGGGCAGACGTAAGACGACACACAATTTGTTAAAAATAACCTCGCTAAAGCTTTTGACAAATCGTTGACCCCTGCAGGTGTTTGTGCAAGTATAGAAGCCCTATGAACTATAAACACATGGGAAACCCCTGTCTACAAGACTCAGCCTTCATAGGTACATAAGCATCCTAACTCTATGCCAAATGCCTGCCCCTTGACAAGAACTTTCCCCACAGAGGTAGTAATCTGAAGAACATAGATCAAATGGAAACACGAGAAATGAAGACAAATCCCCTCAAAGCACTCATTGGTAGCCTTAATATAACAGAAATCAGTAAACTTTAAAATAGACCAACTGAATTTATGAGTGAATCATTTTAACAAAGCCCATTCAACACTCTTCATACTTCTTTTCTAACATAATGGAAAAATTTATAGAAAGGATCTGACAGCAGGAATAAGCATAAAACTGTGTTTAACACATAGAACACACTCAGCATTTTCTGAAGGACTAAGATGATTTGCCATCAAAGAAACATATTCATGAATGAGAGAAGAGAGGGTGAAATCACTTACTGTAATCTATATGAAACTGAGCAACTCCAGAACCAGCATAGTAGGAGCCCTTCTCCACATTGACAAGACAATGCTTTTTTTGCTTTTGTTGAATAATTTCCTTGACTCCTGAGGCTCCCTGATTCATCAAATCCCAGCCTCTAATGCATCCATCCAGACGAGGATTAATCTAGCAATTTAAAATGTAGGTCGTGATGTACATTTTAAATAAGTAAGACTGATAAGTAACTTAGTTGATTATTAGTATGGGTTTTATGCAGAGAGATAATCCTTCCTTGGATGATATTTTAAAATGTTTGACTTATTTTGAATTGAACCTAAATTTGGCTTCTCAACATGCTCTTCAGGTGGACAATCTTTCTCGGTAAATACAAGTTGATGCCATCGTACATTTCTAACAGAACCCTAACGAGTTTCAGCACCCCAATCTTCCCTGTCTCTTCTATGCCATCGAGCAGTAATTTTCTCCTCTCAAGTTCTATATATACTTCTGGCCATGGCTCTGGCTCTAAGTTGTTTTCTGCTTTTCTCTAGTTTCATTAAAAATATACAAATATCTTACAAACCAAACTCAAAATGTCTTCAAGAGCAAAACTTTCCATAAGTCCTTCACCAAAACATCTAGTCAGATTTAACTCAAACAGCAGCCAGTTCATAAATGCTGGGTTGTTCTTGAAATACTTGCTTTATGTTTAAAACATGTCAGTTTCAGAGAAGAGGCATACTAATGTAACACGGGCTAATTAATTTATATGTAAAATCGTAAAATTGTAACCTTTTAAAAGTTGAACTAACTATAAATTTCCAAGAAAGAAAGAAGGATATAAAGATTGTACATAGCTATGTTTAACCAGAAAATTTATATGGCAGGCCTAAAATTTCAGGTACAATTTTAAAAATGTCTAAGGACAATTAGTGTCCAGAAAATATCTAGAAAATCATGTTATATCAAATATTAATTCATGACTATGCTTTCTATAAAGATTTTTTAAATAATAAAGTCCACCTTATACACTGTATTTAATCCCATTCTTCAAGACTTAGTAAATTTTAAAAATTCCTTTGACTAGCTTCTGTAAATAAGACAATTTTAAACTCAAACATATCTATTTATTGTATATCCGCTGAATATGTACTATTACAATAATAACACTGAATTGATACTTCAGAATTTTAAAGAAATCACTTCTCCCTGAATAGCAATGGAGACCTAAATGGGCATAAAAATCCTATATTCATTTTCTTATTTCCTTAACATAATTTCAAGGGTCACTAATGTTATTTTTCCATGTTCAATTCAAATTGTCACAGTTGGCATGTTTAACAAAGTAACTGCTACTGACTTTCAGAGAAACACATTTTCAAACCTATTATGGACAAATGGAATTCACCCATGGAGAATGATACACTTGTACAAGCTTGGCTCATTACCGGCCTGATGAGAGCATTTTCCACTTTCCGAGGTAATCCTGCAAAATATACTTTGGTTTCCAGAAATCCATTTGTAGGCTTAAAAAGACTTCCAGGTTTGTTTATATTCATCACAGGTTCCTTAGCTATTTTGATACTAACACTGTGCTCTAACTCTTCCACAGACACCTGTAATTAGAAAGAGAAAAATTACCAAATCATCAGTCTATATGTCACTTGAAACAATGGAGTTAAAAAAAATCCTATTACTATTCCAATAAAATAATCACTTTGGTGTAATTTCCAATTTATTCCCATCCACTTGGAATATCAAATTACAATGTGCTAAAAATGTATTATAAGTTGATGGTATTGGATGTAAAATAAAATATATGCCATATTTTAAAATATAAAAATCAGTATTATTGTTACATGTAAGCATTCAATTATACACTATTCCATTGCTGTATTCCACATTCCATAAAACTAACTTTAAAATAAAGCAAGCCACTATATCTTGGGTATGTTTTAAATGCTGTACTTTTACAAGTGTGTGATTGAACATAAGTAAAATAAGCAAAGGAAATAAGTAAAGGTAAGTTTAATATAAACTAAGAGAAATCACTATTAAAATGAGTCACATTTGTGCCCCACTTTCCTTTGTTCACACCTCCAGTGTAACCTATATCACATTCATCACACTAGTTCATAAAGCAGCCTGGGTTAAGAAACTGAGATACTAAAAGCAGGGAAAATTTCTTGCTATAGTTTTTTCACTTTGTGCTTGGAAATTTAGAACTTTGAATGTGCTTACTAAAAATTAACACAAGCGGATAAAGGATGAAAGGAGACATAGTGATGGCTCCACACAGTTTCTCAACAGAGATCTCTCATCAGCACCCGTAGACCTCAAACGCATCTCTTCTGGGCATATATTTTAAGAAGCAGCTCACTTTTGTTCGCTATTCTCTACTGAAATGAGCTCATATGCATATATGGAAGAAAAACTCAATTACTAGTAGTAATAACTAACAATTATGACTACTATTTATTTTAATTAAGTTGAATCAAGCTTCATTCTTCATTTTGTGCAAAAATAAACTTGTTCTAATTCCATTTTTCTACAAACTTTAAAAAAATTTACTTAGTTTATTTAAAAGGCACAAAGACAGAGAGCGATCTTCCACCTGCTAGTTTGTATCCTGAATGTTTGCCAGAATCAGTGTTAGGCCTGGCCAAAGCCATAAGCCTAGAAATCACTCTGCTCTTGCAGGTGGATGGCAAGGATCCAATTACTCAGGCCATCACTGGCTGCATCCTAGGATGTGCAGTGACATGTGGTTGGAATGGCCAACAGTGTTGGATCTTGAAAACCAATACTCTAATATGTGTTACAGGTAACCCAAAAAAGATTCTGGACTGCTAGATCAAATGCTGTTCCTTCATTTTTGATTATTAAAAAGTTGGATTATATAAAAAATGCTGGAATCATATAAAATGGTTTAGTTTCTAAGCCCTCTCAGAGATATCTGCTAATATATTCTGCTTGTATATGATGAATTACTTGTCTATATATTTACATTTAAAATTGAGCCACCTTTTTGATTTGTTACTATATGAAATTCTCTTTCATTTAAAAAAAATATTTGCAATAACTGAGGGCAGTTTTCTTTGATCACTGATGTCTTTGTATTAACTGCTACTCTTGCTACTAATCCTGATCTTTAAAAGGCACCCTATTGTTCACCTAAAGAAAACATCACAGCTACTAAAAAGATAAAAAGGTAGAATTATTCAAGCAAATAATTAAAAATTATTTATAGGAAACCCTAAAAATATTTAGTGACTGTATTCTGTCTCCCCTCATTTTAAGAATTTACAGTATACAAATTAAACTTCACAGGACGTCAAATCCAGATCCGTTTTTGGCAGAGGAGGGCTAGCTCTGTGACACAGCAAGTTAAGCTACCACTTCCAACCTCAGCATCCCATATGGTGGTGCCACTTTTTACTCTGGTTGCTCTACTTCCCATCCAGCTTTCTGCTAACACACCCAGGAAGAAGTTGGAGGATATCCAATTTCTTGAGCTTCTACACTAATGTGGAAGGTTCAGATAAAATCATTGCTTTCCTGTGTTTTACTTGACCAACCAGCCCTAGTTGGTTGCAGCCATTTGTACAATAAATCAACAGATCAGCAGATCTCTCTCTCTCTTTCTCCCTCTCTGCTTCTCCTCTCTCTCTCTCTTTCTCCCTCTCTCCTTCTCTTCTCTCTCTCTTTCTCCCTCTCCTCTCTCTCTCCCTCCCTTCTCTTTCTCCCTGCCTCACTCTCTCCCTCTCTTGTTCTTCCTTCCTTCTTTCCTTCCTTCCTTCCTTCCTTCCTTCCTTCCTTCCTTCCTTCCTTCCTCTCTCTCTCTCTCTCTCTCTGCTTTTCATATAAATAAATCTCTTTAAAAAGTACAAATCCAAGGTCTGTTACAATGACTTAGTGGCTACATCCTCACCTTGCATGTGCCAGGATCCCATATGGGTATTACTTTGTGTCTGACTGTTCTACTTCCCATCCAGCTCCCTGTTTGTGGCCTGGAAAGCAGTAGAGGATGATCCAAGGCCTTGGGACCCTGTACATCCAGGGAATACCTAGAAGAAGCTCCTGGCTTTGGATGGGCTCAGTTCTGGCTATTGGGGCCACTAGGGAATTAAACCTGCAGATGGGAGATCTCTCTTCTCTCCTTCTCTCTGTAAATCTGTCTTTCCATTAAAAAAACAAACAAATAAATCTTTTAAAAAGGTTAAACTAATTAATACATAAGTATAAAAATTAAAAAATTTATATAAGCCATTAGCATAGTGGTAATATCTTTATGAAATCTGTAAAATATACCATATTCCAGAGTCCATCATTAATAATTTGGCCTCCAGTTGTTATTTTGGCTGTATACTCATTCTTAAATTGAATTTCAATCTTTCCTTGGCGAAGTGCAATCAGGAACCAAGCTGAGTGATCAAGAGATTCTGCATATAGTATAACACCTTCTGAATCATACGTCCGGAAATCAAATTCAGCTGAGAATCTAAACATTGGGCAAACACAGTTAATGGTGAGAAATATGGAAAGTAAGCATATTATTCTTTCTTCTTGCAGTGACAAACATTAATACACAGAAAGATTAATTATTTTGCTTCCTGGAATTTAAAAAAAATAAATAAAAGAGCAGCGTTGGCCTGCTCATGTGTTATCTCTGACTTCATGTGTGATTAATAAGCAATTAATTATATTCTTTTGCTTATTCTTGCTTACTTTCCCCAGAGAACAGATGCTTTGGTAATTTCTCATTTTTCTGGCATGTTCTGAGGAAATCTTCCAAATACTGGAATTCAAACACATGTATAAATATTAGGCACAGTGTCTCTCTCTGAGCCTTTTATGTACTATGTATTCTGACAACAAAATTTTTTTGGCTGTATCCATAAATAATTAGTAAAAGATGTTACAATTTCATGATTGGTTTTTCCATCAAAAGGCATATTTCCCCTATGATTTCATCTGTGTCAGGAAGGAATCATTCATAGAGATCTATCAGATAGCATCTGGATGACTGCAAACATAATTAAGCTTTTATGTGTGGTAAGGAAGGTAACATCAAAAACCGCACGATGTATCTGTGAGTTTGATTTCAGAAAGCTCTCCCAAAATTTTTACTGCATAAATCATTGTGTTAGACTATATGGAAGGAAAGCTTAGTATAGTCTAAACATATGTTTTCAAGTATCTGAACAACTGCAATATTCATCGTTATTAAAACTCTAGACATATGTGTTATTACAGGAAAGAAAATTTTTAGGGGTAAGGGATTTTTAATAGCACGTGTTGAATCACTGACTTCAGAATAGTAAATAAGAATCAGCCTTAAACTACCAACAGGCCAGTAGGTCAAAATGATTTTTAAAAGACAAACAGGAAAAAGATTTTTGTATGGCAATTAGTCACCTGGGTTAAATTCAAATAAAATAAGTTAAAGAATAAAGACTTCAGGTAACTGCAAAACAAGGAAAGAAGTAATTCTACATGCTTATCTCACTGCATGAATGCAAAATAAAAGCATGCTTTACAATGCAGCATAGATCTCTCATAAACGGGCATGAAAAAAAGGTGATAGAGCAAAATGCTTACTCCACAATTCCAGGGAAACATTTTGAAGATGTAAAGTGCAGAGCAAAGTGTGCCAGATGGATGGGAATATAGATGTAATGAACATAGTTTAAATAAAAAAGGGCTCTTTCACTGGGAAAAAAAAAAAAAAAAAAGGCCTTCCTTCTTGTTTCCCAGCCATGGGAGCACTTGGCTGACATGAAGTGTGTCTTATTTTGCCAAAACCTAAATCTCCCTCTGCTCAGGATCTTCCAGAAGTTGATCCTATTATGGATATAATTTCCTTTTCTTTGTAAAATCATGTTAAAATGGCATTTCAAAGAGTCATGTTCTGCATATTTTGTTTCTGGAATCCATCATCAGCATATTGATTCATTGCATTGGGGAGTGATTCATTCTCTTTTAAAAACAACAGGAGACAAAAGTGAATTTGTTAACATTTGGATAGTAGAAGTATTTGATTATGGAAAAAGATGCAAAGGGATTTGCAAAGAATAAAAGCACTATCTCTTCTTAGTGTTGGCTTAGGTGGAATTTTATAAAATCTCACCAAGTGGTACAATTACTATGCACCTATATTTCAGCACTTCTGCTGTACTTCAATAAAAGTGGAATGAACAAAATAAATACAAACACTGGAAAAAATAGACTTTGGCCAATTATGATCTAAAGGTAGGGAATAAACTATTTTGAACTGTCAGTGAGAAATGAATACTTCTCCGAGTGTCTGAAGGTTTCCATACCATAATACACTTTGTTCTTTCTCATTATTTCCATAGCAGGAAAGGTTTGTCCCTGAAATCACTAGATGATACGATCTGACTGAGACGTGAAAGGGGAAAACTGGAGATTGTTAGAAAGACATTAAAGAACGCCAATTACAGAGGTGAATCTCAGAATAATTTTCATTATGGCTATTTTTAAAGACAGACTTAATTTTATTTGAAAGCTAGATTCTACAGAAAGAAGGAGAGAATAAGAAAGATCTTCATCTGCTGGTTCACTCCGCAAAGAGCTCAACGATGAGCCCATAATGGTCAAAGATGAGCCCATCCGGAGATACGAGCCTCCCCAGGGTCACTCATATTGGTTGCAGGGACTCAACAACCTGAATCATCCTCTGCTGCTTTCCCAGGCCACAAGCAGGGAACTGCATTGGAAGTGGAGAAGTGGGGACTAGAATTAGTACCCATATGGATGCTGGTTCTAGCAGGCAGAGGATTAGCCTTTTGAACCACCATGCCAGTCCCTTCAATCTTCCTTAATGATCAGATTTCTATGAAGTCAGATGAGTTATTTAATGAACATTAAATCATATATGTAAAAGTAAACTTTAAAATATTTTAATTAAGTAAGCATTCATATTTAAAGTATATGCGGTAACAATCTAGGGACTAGCAATGTGGCATCATTCACTTATTCAGCCACGAGCTGTAACAGCAGCATCCCACGTGAGCACCATCTGAGTTCTGGCTACTCCTTGCTAGTGTGCCTGGGAAAGCAGCAGAAGACGGCCCGCATTCCCGAGACTCAGATGAAATTCCAGGGTGCCAGCTTTGGTTGTGCTAAGACATGGCCCTTGTTGTCATGTGGGGAATGAACCAGCCGATGAAAGATCATATTCTCTCTCCATCTTTGAAATTAACAAATATTTTAAAAATAAATAAAAATAGTCAAACTCATTTTTCCCACTATTCCAACAAAATTTGTTTCTTTTCAAGTTTGTACATGTAAAATTGAGAAAATTTGATGATTTAAGTAGAACTACGAATCAAAAACTTAAGTGTTTTCCCCCTAAAATCAAAGTGGCTACAGGAATAATTGACAAAGCATTCAGATAGGCAATTAAAACACTTAATCCTTTTAATATACTATTTAAGTAGCCTTATGAATCTTAATAATTATAGTGATATTTTAAAATTGTGTTTTCTATAATCTTACTATTTATTAGTATACTCTATATATGGAACAATCATAATGTCACAAATGTATGGTATCTACCCTCCTGTTTGGGGGGAAAATGTGCATTTACTAGAGAGGGAATAATGTTAGGTTAAGGTAAAGTGATGGTCAGTGAAGGTAAACCCAGAATGATCCAAAAAGGTGCCAGCATGAAAACTATTTAAGTGAAGGAGAGAATTGACTTTGGTGTTCTCCAAATTATCTGACTGATAACATACCTTAATTACCCAAGATGAAGTACAATTTTGTACATTGTTTTTAAAACATTTTAGTGACTTTTGTCCAGAACCTTATTAACCTTCAGAAATTATAAATGAGTTTAGTACCTCACCTGGTGATTTCTGGCAAACGAAATTTTAAATATAAAACGACCCCTACAAATTGCTCTGCCAAGTAAAGTAAATGATAATTTTTGTCAAGGTCCAAGTGAAGGCAGACTGGAACAGTCTGGAAAAACAAAACAAAAAACAAGCAGAATGAGTAGGTTGTTTGTTTAGTATCTGTCAAACTGTGTATTGTTTCTCTGGTCCTTAATATACACCTGTGGTATACTCAGAAAAAAAGAATATCTTTGGAAATAACAAAGTGATCCCTTGAATTCCTCATTGAATGCATCAGCATGGCTTTCAAGACTAGACTTATTTAAAAGTCTTGTTCAGTATGTGTGGCTTTAGGATTTTGTGCTTAATAGGTTTTTTTTTTTTTCAAATCTCTGTCCTAAACACATTTCTCTTCAAGTACACTAGTTAGTGATCAGGTATGATGTCTTCCATGCATTATACCTAAAATTTAGTTTCATTTGAAGTCAGAAACTAATGAAAAAGTAAATGTACCAACGGAGACCTTCACTCATTTACCTGTTAGATAGAGATTTCTCAAGCAATACTGTGCTGTCTAGATAGAAAGTAGAGCACTCAAAAACCTAATGGGAATACATTTATCATCTTAGTCTCCAGGGAATTTTCAAAATCGTGATTTTAGAGTAATCACATGTGGTATTATTTTTATTTTCTAGTAATGAAAACAAAAAGTAACAAGTAAAACAAGAAAAATATCACAGCAAACCAAGGCAAACCAGTGCTGGGGTGCACACTTACCAGATCAGAGGGCCTGGCATCAAGTCACCTCTGCACCGTCACATCTAGCTACCTATGAACACATCTGAGAGGTGGTAGGCGGAAGCTTAGAGAACAGAGTCACTGCCACATCCCTGGAGACATGCAATGAGCTCTAGGCCCCTGGTCCAGCCTGGCCCAGCGTTGGCTGTTCTGGGCATTTGGGAAAGAACCAGTGGATGGAAGATCTCTTTTCTCTGTTTCTCTTGCTTTCTGTTACTCTGCCTTTCAGATAAATAAAAATGAAAAAAAAATGAAATTAAAAAATAAAGAGCTGTTTTAGAAGTAAACCTTGGACATATCAGGATATTTGAGAGGAACTGTGTACATAGGAATTACATACAGAAATAACATTTAGTTCCTCCTAATAAATCTAACAAATGTAGTTGAAGGCAAGAAACACTGCAGCAACACTTGGGAACTAAATTACAACCCATGGCATTCACACGGGACAGCATTTCATTTCAGTAGCATCAAAGTTAGTACACATGGCAACTAGCTTATCTCCCTTTATGACGCATAACATGGAATAACAATATTTTTTTCTGGACAAATACAACTCTTCCTTGGTGACAGATGCAAATGTTATTTGTCTATCTATAAGTAATCATTTCAGAATGTGTTATGGACTGCACATAAATTTCACTTGTTAAAAATAAACGTAAGAATTGGGAAGAATCATTAACACGTGATACTCTGTCCCAGCCCAGCAAAATAGTTTCAGATGTTGGCTTGTTTATTTCAAAGGAGAAAAAAAATTAGAATCTCCCCCACAACATTCAAATCCTGGGACAACTCTGTACAAATCTGAATAACTAAAAGCAAAGCTTGTGAGACATGGTAGAACAAGGTCCTCTCTAAAGTCTGATACACTTGACCCCACTGCACCCCGCACTCGGACGAAGTGTTTTCACCTGGACACGCCTCTGAACACCTACAAGTCCTAATGTGTGTGAGGCGTGATCAGACTTGTCCGTGGTGGACAAAAAAGTAGACATTGCAAAATGCCTTCCTTAAGGTCCCTATGGTGATTGCTATGTTAGAGGAGGAGGATTAAACTGAGCCATTCTTGATTTCTTCAGTAAGTACACACACTTTGCCTTTTGTCAATGTACAAGCTGTAGGTGAGGGCTGTCTAAACTGTGACCCCCATAGCTTTCTCTTGTTTTTAATCCCCAGCCACTAATTATCCTCAATGTTTACAGCTTACATGAGCATAATTATGAAAGAGATTGTGACTCATAACCTGCTTTGGAACTGCGGCAATTACAGCAGAACATCTGTACTGTCCTCACTTACTCAACCATGTGAAAATCAATACCTGAATCTCTCTGTGAGGACAGAGATGAGTTTAGCGTTGTAGAATGTTTACCTCACAACTTTTCTTATCTTGAGCAAGTCTGAATCCTTTTTTTCCATCACAATAACAAGAGTAGCCTCCAGGGTAATTGACACACAGTTGAGCACACATGTTCTCAGAGCATTCATCTATGTCTGGGGTAAAGAAGAAAATGTAACCTTAATTTCTCCTAAGTGTCTCACTGAATCAGCAGAGGAGTTTTCGGATTTAGATACCAGATAATCAGTGATAACAGATCCCCACAGAAAGAAATTCCTATGGTATAAAGTCACATTTAAACATTTGGCATGCAACATTAAATATGATTCATTTAATTTTATTAGCACACTTGAAATAACAAACTCAATTTATAACTTTCAGCAATTAATAACATAACAATCATAAAAACTGGCTGATTAGTTAACTAGAAGAAAGATTGATAGTTTCTGCTGTGTTTCTGGTTATGTAAATCCTCCTATAATTATTTCCAAATACTTCAAAGAAAGGGAGAGGGGAAATGGGAATGGGGAAAATTGAAGATATGGAGGGAGAGAAAAGGAACAGGGGATGAAATGACCATATCACGAATGCTTGAATCCCATAGTGCAATAATTCATAGTGCTGACAAATTTAATGACAGATCTTTATTTCCTTTCATAAGTTATTTTAAAAGTATGTTATTGCCCATAATGTTAAAAAAAAATCTTTATTTTTTTAATTGAGATTTTTTTTTGAAAGTCAGAATGATGGTTGGTGGTGGCTGGACGAATCTTCTATGCTCTGGTTCACCCTCTACATGATCACAATCACTAGAGCTGAGCCAGGCTGCAACTAGGAGCCTGGAACTCATCTGAATTCCCCACATAGGTGGCAGGGGCCCAAGTACATGGGCCATCCTCAGCTGCCTTCCCAAGAACAGAATGGGGTGCACCTTCACCAGCTGTACCTCAGCACCAGAATCACATGGAATTTTTTATAGTATCTTCTCCATCAGTATTTTGAGAAAAATCATTCTTAAAATAGAATAGCAATATGCATAAACCCACTTTCGAGCCTAAATTCAACATTTAACTTTCAATCTCGAGGTCATTTAACATCTAGCTCTTTTTATCTTCCATCCTTTAATATTGAGATCATGAACGTTTTTCATCAGAATCATTGTGTGATCGTGGGAAAACCCCAAATTAATACATGTTATTATATCTTCTCATAAAATGCTTGAAAACAGATTTTGAACACTGGTTGGTCAATTAAAAATAATAAAGTTGAATATAATATATTTATACATGTATATGTGTATACAGCCATGATATTTTATAAATCTGTCATTCACGGAATAGAACTTTAGAAGTTTGTGAATGATAAACCTGCAAATGCCTAGGTTTGCTACAGTAATTTCTCTAGAATAATACAGAAAAAATGGTGTGCAGGGGGTTACTTTTGATGACTGTGCAGAGATAATCAAGTTCACAGAGACTGAGAGAATGATTAGAAGTGTAAAAAGGATCACCTAAATAAAAGCAAGTAATAGAAAAACATATTATTTAATGATGATCCAGTTTTTGTTTGGGTTGATGAAAAAATTTTGGAAAAAGACTGGTGCAACAGTATAAGCAATGCCACTGAATCTATCACTTAAAGGCCACATTGAATATTATATACTTTGTCACAGTAGAAAAACTAATATTAATATGATGAATCATATACAAACTATAAACATATATGTGGTTCTAATAAAAAACAAAATCAAAACACTTTTAATAGCTATGTGAGCCCCGAAATGCCAGCACCAGTGCACCCCAAGGAAGCAGCAGGACCTCCAAGGCGATATGCCCAACCCAAAGACGCTAATACCACGGATCAGTATGTCTCAAATTTCTAAAGCTTGACTACGAGTTTAAGAAGATAACAAAACTAAGCAGTTTTCCATTTCAGAATAAATCGTTTTCCTTTATAAACACAGAAAATCCTTGGAACACTTAGAATAAATCTAAGGTTTATAAACCAGGCTTATTATTTCGTTCACAAGATTTTTCAGTTTATATCTTTCCTTTGTGTAAATGCATTTTTCTTCCCAGACAGAAATTTCCAGATGTCTCCGAATACTATTTAAATGAAGTGTTAATAGCTTTGTCTTGTTTTTATCACACGTGGAGATCTTCAATGCTTATAACTGCTTAAACAGCCAATTGGAAATACATAACAATAAACCTAAGGACCATAGGTCTCACATACTTTCACTCTGGAAAGAAGCCAAGGATTACTGGGCTAACTAAAGTACCTCATGGATCAGAAAATCTGACTGCTGAGGTTAAACTAAGCCAGTGTTATTAAATGCGAGCTCAGGCTTCACACCTACCCTCTCTACCACCCATAATGACACCGCCACTGTCCTACCTTCACAAGCCTTTGATGTGGGATTGAATCTGTAGCCTTCAGAGCATTCACATTCAAAGTCTCCAGGGGTGTTCTTGCACACAGCAGTGCCACAAATGTCTGGCTTCAAAGAGCATTCATCCACATCTATAAGTAAAATCAATATATTTAAAAAAAAATTCCCATTCCAAAGAATCCTTGATTTCTGCTTCTTGGATCCAGTTTAACATATATGAGACAACAGAATGGCTTTGGAACAACAAAATGGTAAATCTGTCATCATATTTTAATTCAATAATTATGATTTGTCTGTACAATTTCAGCGATATTTACCATGTTCCTTGATAGAGAGGTGAAATTAAGTTAGTTTGTTATCTACCAGGCTATAGTAGGAAAATAAATTTTATTACTAAATGTACTCCTAAATATGCATTCCTGAAATACGCTCTTCAAAATAGATTCACTCAATATTATCATAAACTTAAAAAAAAATGAATGAGGTTATGTTTTAACTATTTTTTAGAAATAGACAGATACCTAATTTTTACATCATTATTGTTGCCTAAAATATCAAGTATAGGCTCAAATTTTTCATGGCATTGAGTAATCTCACAATATTTGCTAAGCTGTAATTAAACTAATCTAAGCTTCAGTAATTTCAAAAGCATTTATTACATAACAGAGTAACAGAAAAACCATGCAGCCAGTTGTTTGAGGCAAACAAGACAAGTGACAGAAACAGATCAAAATGATATTCTTGTTACTGATCTCTCATCTCCACTTTGTGGACAAAGATAAATCCAGATGAAAGAAATGTATTTGGATTATAAAAAAGTTGATAATTTGTTCCTCTCAGACTAATTGGCAAAATGTATGACATAAGTCGAAAAACTGAGGCAAAAACAATCTCTCTTATGGTAAGGGGATTTTTCTGCATGTCAAATGTATCAACCCCGAATTAACTTAAAATATTTCATTATCTTGAAGTTATGGAATCGATACGTTCAAAATAAAGCCATAACTGGAGTTGTTTGAGTGCAGACTTACCTGGGGTGTGCATCCAAGTTCCCTCATTTCCTGACTCTACAGTGACACCTAATGTCTGACGACAAGTTTTAGTTTTCATTTTTAGAAAATTTTGGGTAACTTGATCCTAAACTTATCCACATTTTGGCAAAGATTCCGTTGGGATCATCATATTCTAACAGTTCTGTACTCTATCACTTAAGTATGACAGATAAAAGGATATACAAATGAAAAATATGATTTCTGCTCACCAGGGACTTTATTCATGAGATGCTTGTGTAATCCTTTGTATACGTTTGTTTGATAATTCAGAGGGGAAGGGCTAACTACACTAGAGAACAGTCATGAGCTTTTCAGAAGCTCAGGCTATTTGAGTATTTAAATATAGAAGTGTGAGTGGGTAGATGCAGCACAGTAGCCTACAGCTAAAGTCCTTTCCGTGTTCACGCCAGGATCCCATATGGGTGCTGGTTCATGTCCTGGCAATTCTGCTTCCCATCCAGCTCCCTGCCTGTGGCCTGGGAAAGCAGTGGAGGATGGCTCAAAGCCTTGGGACCCTGCACCCGTGTGGGAGACCTAGAGGAGGCTCATGGCTTCTGGCTTTGGGCGCAGCACAGCTCCGGCCGTTGCGGCCATTTGGGGAGTGAATCAGTGGATGCAAAATCTTCCTCTCTGTCTCTCCTCCTCCCTGTATATCTGATTTTTCAATAAAGATAAATAAATCTTAAAAGAAGTGTGAGTGAGTAATATTCGTTTATGGATTGTACATAGTATTTTAGACTTTTGATGGTCTTTTTTAGTTGGTATTTCAAATAATAATGTCATTAGAATACCAAACTCAAGCATACCTTCAAACAAACACATAACAAATATGTATTGACAAAAATTGGATAATGGTTTAAAAGAAACTGCTAGTTGATTCAGTATGCTTTAGAGTCATTAAACTGTCCTTAAAATACAGTAACCTATCCTACGCTACAAACTGCAGTACAGAAAGGGACTATTCCCAAATATGAACCCAATTTGGAGATATAGCAGAACAGACTTAAAGGGTTAAAAAAATTACACTTTATGTACTTGTTTGATTTTTTTTTTTAACCCAACAACTAAACAAAAAGAAGAGTGTGTGGGAAAAAAAAAAAAAAACTTCTATTAACTATTTCCATTTTCTCAAGGCAATATTTCAATTCTCAGCTATGAAATTTCATTTTTAATTTTTAATTACCCATATACCTAACAGTAAAATCTGAAGATAGAGCAGTCAAATAGAAAAAAAACTACACAGAGAGAAAAAGGTAAAAATAGAGTGATAAAATGAAAATGTTAAACTGACAAGAATTATTTTAATCCTAACAAGAAGGAAGAGTTACGATCAAGGATAGTTTAAAATGTATAAAGGGCAAGAAAACCGGGTTGTCTTCATTTTACCCAAAACCACAACAGGAAATGGGAATGCAACAGAAGGGTTTATTTTGGAATTCAGAAAGGTATTTCTGAGAAGCAAAGCTCAAACATGAGCTGGTTACCAAAAGAGTGGCAGATTTCTTTAAATAAATGTTCATCATATTAAAGGAAATGGTAACATAATGTCTGAAAACAAAGGATAAACAATGACTTTGCGAAATTGGAAGCATGCAAAGACTTGCACTAAAATCTCACTTTATAATGGAATTCACCGTGGAAATATGCACACATGCTCCGCACACAGACAAGAAAAAGTAGCTGCCAAATACTCCTATCTCCAGTCAACTAAGCAGACACACCAAGGTATCGCAAAGCTTTAAGGTGGATAAAAATATTTGTCTGCTATAAGCACTTTGTTTCTCCAAGAACTTCCTGGGGAACATCCTCTGCCTGAATTTTATTCTCAAACACTAAAAACATTCTTACTTCACCTTCTTTCTCTTACCTTTACAGTCTTTCCCATTTGAATGCATAACAAAACCACTTTTACAGGAACACTGGTAACTTCCAGGAGTGTTATCACAAATCTGGCTGCAATCTCCATTTATGTTTGAGGGATCTTTGCATTCATTTATATCTAAAACGGGGAAAATAAAATTATTATTATTATTAGCTAAAAGAGTTGATCATTTTATTTTTACATTTCACACTACCAATGAAAACTGCATTTTTTTAAAAAATCTTACTTCTTCCCTCCAAAGCCTATCTCTGATAGGAATAGGGAGCACCAAGTCTTGTTGCTGTAAGCAAGCATCTGGAGTCATGATACCCTGATCTCTTGGTGAAGCAGAACACATGATACAGAGCTGCCACAAAGAGGTCCTCCCCTTCAGGCTTATCTGTTTGGCTGAAATGAGTTGGCATCATCCGAGATGGGCAAGAGATCTGACTATTGGGGCACTCATTTCATTGTCTTGTGACCTCTCATCGGTGGTTCCAGGAGCAAGTCCCACTAGCAACATCTCAGGAAGAAGGCCCATCAGTGGTGCCGTAAGAGGGCCTCCCATGTGGGGTGCTGGCATTGTTTAAGAAAGAGCTAGGAGACTGGGGGAAGCTGAGATTGTCACCCTTGCAGGAGGAAGAGCAGAGAATGGAGTAGGAGGTATGTCTGCTGGTTGGAAGGTAGTCGCTTTAGGTCAACCTGCCTCTGAGGCTGTCTTCCATCTGTTTCTTTCACATTGTCATTGTGCCTCTTACCACTACCACAGCAATTTGTCTTTCTCACAGATGGTGAGTAATGGGTGAGATATATATTGCAGTAATCACAATCACACTTGAGCACATTGTTCTGAAGGCCACTGGCCACACCGTTCAAATAAATGGTTTTTAATGTAATCTATCCTTCAGTGAACTTTTCCAGTTCAGATGAGCCAGGTGGGTTTATATGCATACCTGATTCACACTTCTCTCCTTGCCAGCCTGGTTTGCAAATGCATGTGAATGTAGCTTGTCCATCTTTGCAGCTAAGGTATCCCTCTTCACTGCATGGCAGAGGGTTGCATTGGTCTGGAATCGCTGAAGGAAACAGACGGCTATTAATTTCTATATCAATTCACAATGAAATAAAATGATGTGACTTTTAATAGAAATTCTCTTCACAAAGCCTAGTGTCAAAGAAGAAAAATTACAACTTCTTCCTCCAAATAGTTCTTTTTCATAAAAAAAATGTCAGGCAAAACTTTTTTTGTAAAAGCACACTGCTTCTATACTGCAAATATGCAAACATTTTAAAACTGGAATTTAGACACCTTTTTGATTCCTAAACAATCCAATTAGGCAGCAAAAAAACCCAATACTATTCTCACAATTAGTAGAAAAGAGACTAGAATTTCTTTTTTGACCTAAAATAGAATCACAGAAATCACATTTGTCTTCTTGCCTTAAATAATTAAAACTCAAAATATACTAAATAATGGTTTTAAAATATCGAATAAGTTGCAGAATAAAATTATTCTTGAGAGAAAAGAAATAAACAAGGTAAGCTGTAAATGTGCACCCTCTTATTGCCTGGAAACAGTTTCCATGCAACGGTATAAGGAACTCAAATAGAGCTGAATGGTCGTCCAGGCTTAAAAATGTGAATGTTGGAAAGACCAAACTAGAATTATTCAGTCAGAATATTGTAAATGAAAGGAGAAATGAGAGAAAAAAGACTAAAAAAAAGAGCGAGCGATAGAAACTCCTGTGATCTATAGAAAAATCTTTGAGGGCCCTTGATTGGATAGTGTTCCGCATAGAACAACTTCAAAAACTCCCAAAAGGTAAAACAGCTCATTTCAGACAAGCAAGATCAAGAAGATTTCTCAAAGGCCCTTAGGTAGAATACCCCAAAATATATAGCTTTCTTACTGGGGCAAAATTCATTTTAGATCAATGGTTTACCCTATTATATTCTAAGATAACTTTAATTCAGGCTTGAAAATATTTGTTTCAATTTATTCTGAGTAATTTAGCTGAGTATCCGAAAAAATGCAAACACTGGAAGAATACAACAAAATCTATAGCCCAGGAAAATAAAATTTCTGCTTATTTCCCTTTTCTTACAATGACAGTACTTTGTGGTCTGTTGTTCAATTTATAAAAAATGTTCTTTCATAGATATTTGATAAGATTTCTACTTAGTTAATGCAAAAGGGATATCTAATACCATTACTTCATCTTAACTTAAAGTATCACAATCTTTTTCTGCTATTACTGAAAGGTAGTATTGTTTGTTTTTTTCAGTACATAGTTAAAAGTAAAGTAGTATATTATTACTTGAATGTAGATTATCAAAATATTAAAATGCATATTGTCGATTCTAGGAAAAAGTACAAACGAACTTTAAGAGGTATAAATAGTAAGCCAATAATGTAATAAAATGAAACCAACTCTGTCCCCTAAAAATGGGACTTGCTTAGCTCGTATTAATACTGGGAAAAAGGGAAAAGCAAGGAGCAAAGAGATGAATAAATTTAAACTGTGTCACATCCATATTTGCATTAGATAAATTATCTATAGTGAAACTCTACAATTATAACATAAGAACTCTCAAATTGGATTAAATAGCAACACTCAATAGGAACCTACAAGTGCATATGTTAAGGTAATGGATAGAAAAACAAATCATGAAAATATCTATCAAGAGAGCTAAGATGACTATTAACATAAAATAAAGCAGATTTTAGAAGAAATATTATTACCATGGAAAGCATGAACCTCAACTTCAGTGCCCTGTTTATTTTCATAAAGTTCAACACCTGTTTGTTTCTTTACGTATTTTTGGCTTCTTTCCCTTTACCAGACACTGAAATAATCCCTTCATTTCTGCACATTGCTGCTTCTCAAGGCTTCTTAATCTACTGCTCCCAACATATTCCCCTTGGTTTAAGGAGCCAGAAGGAATTTCTGTTGTTTTACAAACAAGTTACATATCCTAGCTAACACATGAGCAATTCCATAATTTTTAAAAAGGTCTCTTGGGATGGCCATTTACCTTAGTACTTAAGACACCTGTGACCCCCCCCATCAGACTACTTGGGCTTGATATTCAAGTTTGCTCCAGATTCCAGAATTTAGTTAAATATAGACATTTGCAGGACTGGCTAAAACATTGGTTTCATGCTACTGACCTGGTCGACCCTGAGAGCATTGCTGGCTCGTGGGTTTGGCTCCGGCCCAACGCAAGATTTCATTGGGGAATGAAATCTTGATAAAGAGCTCTCTTTATATTTTTACCTTCCTGTTTTTCTAGTTACCAAATAAACACATTTTCTGATAAGTAATCAAGTGTTTGAAAATTGATAATAAAATGGATATTAGTAAAATTACAGAAAATAGACAAACAGGAAATTGATATCAAAACTATTACTTTCCTGTCTTTTGGCCAATTAAAAGAGAAAAAACTAGTATAAATATGTTCAAGCTAACGGTTTTACTTACAGATAATTACAATCATTTGGGGAAAATGTAGATAAATGAATATTTGGATGATGCCAGTGTTCCAGAATATTCATTAAATAATTACCCCAATTTATACATTTTAGTTTTATGTTTTTCTCTGACCCTCAGCTAGAAAACAGGTAAATTGTAGAAAAATAGTCTACCAGAACCATCATTAGGCTCTCTGTGAACTTGAGAATAAGAAAGCTAATTTGATTCACATGACTGTTTCCTCACTTACGCTACTGATGCCAAAATTAGAAGAATACTTTTCTATTATCTGATTGTAGTCCATGATTATGCAACAAGTCTAAATAAAGCTGTTGGTAATAAAAATCCTGTGGTCAGTGACTAAAATCAATGAAACAATGACCCTGTTGACTTTAAAATCCATTAAATGAAAAATCCACTTTGAGTAAAAGAGTAGCATTTACAACTGAAAAAACCTTATTTCAAATGCAGTTTGGAAATCCCTCCTTACTGGACACACCTCCATGCGCTCATTTGTTGATTTGTATTCATTAGTTTATGTTGACATGAGCGGACTTTACTGCACAGCTCGTTATGTTTTGTCTTTAACTTCAGTGCTAGAAGTTACTTACCACTGACACAGCTCCTGAGGTCAGGGTAAGCATTAGTTGACTGGCGGGCAGCAACAAATAATTTGGTACGGAAAATGCCAAGACAAGCTGTAAATAAGAACAAATGCAATCTTTTTAGAGAACACGCTTATGTGATTTGAAGTCATTGTAGAAATGATGTCAAGAGGTAGCATGCTGATGCTCCAGGATGTTTACAACAAGATTCACAAGTAAAAAGGTCAATGTGTTATGGAGTGCAGCCAGTGATTGCTCCTTCACCCCTCCTTGTATACTCTTCCCCCCAGGTCCTAATTTGGATGTTGGATGCAGATGAGTCCAATTAGTCTTCTTAGCTATAAGCCCAGTTCCTGTTCCTGCCCATCCCAATGAGCGCCAATTAACTCCATAACTCACAACACTTAGGTATTTGCTCCTGCCCACCTGTGACTCAGCTAACAACTGAGAGGAGAGGGCATTGCATTGTTGTGTAACCACTCCCCTCACAAGCCCCTTTAAAAGGCCTGTGAAGAGGGGGTGGGAGGGGTCAGCTGTTCCAGTTACTCTGGCACCTTGACTCTTGTCTGATACAGGACAGGTAATCCCCCTGAGCATGGTCCCTGTATACTGCTTTGATTGGACTTTTGATCTGTTATTTTAGTATGTTCTGTTATCACCAAGCTTGGTTAATAAAAACTCCTTAATAAAACCTTAGACATGTCTAATGTTATCTTGCCCGCACACCATAACAAATGCTAACAGTTTTTGAAAAGTTTGTAAAACTACAAGCAGGTTTTTGTTTTTGTTTTTTTTTTTCTTTCTTTCAGCTGAAGAAGAAATTTAAAGCTAGAAGTGGGGCAGAACTTAGATTAGCAGGGATATTGTAGCCATTGAAAGCTGTGTTGTGGAGCAGGGGTGTGATGCACACTTAATCCTATCAACGGAACTTGATTTAGAGAGTGTTTATAATTCAGTCATTTGAATGACCTAGTGTTTCTGGTTGCTGTAGGCCATTCCCAATTCTAACAATGCCAGCACTTAATAGAATAATGTTTGTATAATTCCTCAAAATAACAACAGATTTTCTTCATTCCTTTTGTTCTGCACAACCATCCTGTGAAATTAGATACAGCAACCTGAAGAATACTGTTAGCAAACAGAGATAAAACACTTGGAGGCTTTAAAACACATAGGTGTCAGTTAGTGCCACAAGCAGATTTTTAATAGGAATAAAAGATTCTCACATTGTTTTACTTTAAAAGTAGTACTTTGTCTTTCACTTACTAACAATCCCCCAAATGAAAATGAATATCTTAAAAAAATCATTCCACATTGCTCATGACTTGTGGACCTATTACTTAGAAACCATTTGGGTGGACTATTTGTCTCTGCTGCATGCACAGCCATTAAAAAGGAGGGGAGATGTGGGAAGTAGGGTGCTGAAGCCGCTCCCCAGAATAGGAAAGGCCCTGGCAGGATGGCGGCTGGCCCAGGGACAGGAGGCGAGGTTGGTTTCGCCAGCAGGTAAAGAAGTCGTCACAGGGATAGGCTGATGCCCTTGCTGCCATTATGTCATTGCTACTGGCCTATCAGGTAGTGCCAATGGACCCATGGGGAGAAGTGATTGGTAGAGAACAGTATAAAAGCAACCGGTAAAAGCTAAGGAGGGGGATGAGAAGGAGGAAGATGGGGAGAAGAATAGGAAAAGCAGCAGAGAAGGGTACAAAAGTAATAAGGTCTACAAGAGAAGAACGGGGAGAAAAGCAGCAGAGAAAAGCTAAGACCTTCGGAGAAAAAAAGCAGCGGAGAAAAGAGTATAGAAGCAGCCGTTTTTGGCAGTGTGGGGTCTGGTTGCGGTTCTGGCTTTTCCTCAAGAGTGTGCCTCGTAGATGGTGTTGCTGCTCGTTGGCGACAGGGACGGAAGATCTACCTCCAAAAAGGCTTGTCTCTCGCATGTCTGATAGCACACACACTTTGACATCTTTCTGGCCATATGGCCCATGCTGCTTCAGGGCCTCTCCACGTACCTTTATTTCTTTTAGAAGTCTGTGGTGGTTTATTTTTTTGTAAAGTCAGACACACAGAAAGGAAGAGAGACAGAGGAAAATCTTCCGTCCAATGATTCACTCCCCAAGTGGCTGCAACAGCAAGAGCTGAGCCAATTCCATGCCAGAAGCTTCTTCCAGGTCTCCCACGCGGGTACAGGGTCCCAAGGCTTTGTGCTGTCCTCAACTGCTTTCCCAGGCCACAAGAAGGAGCTGGCTGGGAAGCAGGGCTGCCAGGACATGAACGGGCGCCCATATGGAATTCTGGCGTGAGCAGGGGAAGGACTTTAGCTGCTAGGCTAGTGTGCCAGGCCCCGGAGGCACTTCTTTCAAGGCAGTTTCCAAGCAGGAGAAAGCAGAAGCTGCTAGGCCAGGTTAGAGGTACTGATCTGCTTCCACAATATTCTATTGACCAAAGAGGTCCCAGTGTACTCTCAGATTCAAGGGGGTGGGCAAGAAAGGAGATAGATTCTACCTTTTGATTTATACCTTAGACTGATGTTACTGAATTCCTTAAAAAGAAGACGAAAATACAGGATTATTCTGTTTATTCCCCAATTTAAGACCATGAAATGTCTTTTCATTATTTCAGTTCATCTTCTATGTCTTTGGGTTTTAACTTTTTCATCCATAGATGCGTTGTTTTTTTAATTTTTATTTGTATCTTGCATTTTGAATTTTATGCTACAATTCCATGGAGTCTGAGATCCCCACTCACTCCCCAAACCCCCACACCTCCAACTGATTTTCACCACATTGTTACAATAGTATAGTCATCAGATGGAGGATCTTCTCTCTGTCTCCCCACCTCTCTGTATCTCTGACATTGCAATAAAAATAAACCATTTTTAAAAATTCAGGGTACTTTATAAATTTAATGCTGTCATAAATGGCCCAGACCATTTATTTTTCTGTTTGGCTATCACTTGCATAAAGAGAAAACTGTGAATGTTTATATGGTAAATGTAGGGTTATCTGAATCTCTTATTTGTTCTAGCCTTTTATCTACTGTCAGTACTTTTAGTGGTGTATTATATCAATTGCAAATTATGATATCTACATATATATCTTGCCACCTTGTTTGGCTTCTTTTTACTCCTCTCTTTCCTCTCTCTTCCTTAAATTTCCTAAGACCTTTTTTTTTTTTTCTTTATCATGTCAAGCTTCTGCCTGCAATGCCAGTATCTCATATGAACACAGGTTTGAACTCTTGCTGCTCTACTATTTAAGATTTACTTTATTTTTATTAGAAAGGAAGAATAACAGAGAGAAGCAGAAACAAAGAAAGATGGTCTGTTGGCTCACTCCCCAAATGACCACAACAGCCAGAGCTGTGCTGATCCGAAGCCAGGACTCCAGAGCCTCTTCCAGGTCTCCCACACGGGTGCAGGGTCCCAAGGCTTTGGACCATCTTCCACTGCCTTCTCAGGCCACAAACAGGGAGAAGCTGGGACACAAACTGGTGCCCATTTAGGATCTTAAAACATGCAAGGCAAGCGTTTAACCACTAGGCCATTGTGCCAGGTCCTCCTAAAACAATTTTATGAGAGAAATTAAAGCATTAAATTTGCATGAATTATTTGTAAAATGTGATAGTTCTGGATATGGGGGAAAACAGGGAGAACTTAGACAATGGTTTTACTTTGCTTAGCATTTACTGTATAACCATGATTGCTGTGAAACTGTAGATGTTAGATATTGTTCTAGGAACATTCTCATTTTGTTTACAAATACATATTTCACATAGCTGTTTTATGATTATTTTTGAAAGACTTATTTGTCTGAAATACATAGTGACATACAGAGAGAGATACTGTCCATGTACTAGTCACTGACCCTGAGGCTTCAACAGCAAGGGCTGAGCCACACTGAAGCCAGGAGCCAAAACACTCCAATCCAGGTTTCCCATGTGGGTGTCAAACACTTAAGCCGTGCTCTGCTCCTTCCCAACCACATTAGCAGAGATCTGCACTCTGATATGGAATATGGTTGTCCCAAGCCATAGGCTAACCTGCTCTGCCACAACACATGCCCCATAATTATCTTTTAAAATGTTTATGTGTTGGGCCTGACACAGTAGTCTAGCAGCTAGAGTCCTTGCTGGCACTTGCCCAGAATTCCATATGGGCACCAGTTCTAATTCCAGAGATTCTGCTTCCCATCCAGCTCCCTGTTTGTGGCCTGGGAAAGCAATTAGTGGATGACCCGTCTGCGTTGGAGCCCCAGAAGCTCTGGGCTCCTGAATTCAGATCGGCACAACTCCGGCCATTGCAGCCACTTGGGAAGTTAATGAACAGACAGAAGATCTTCCTCTCTGTCTTTCCTCCTCCTCTGTATATCTAACTTTCCAATAAAAAAATAAAATAAAATAAATCTTTCAAATTTACATGAGTTTACAATATACTATCATCACAAGCTGTTTTGCTATTGCAAATCCTCTCTCGCCTTTTGTTTTTCTTTTTGTTTCCTTGACTACCCTCACCAGAAATCAGTCTAGCTTAGGAACTTGGTATTTTTTAAGCCTCTCTTTTGTCCTTGCATTTAACTTATTTTTGTCTGTATTATTGTTGTTTATTTTTATTGAGTGCTTGCTCTACTGGGATGTTTGTTTTCTTATTTGAGAGCTTAGGTCATTGTTCAAATTCTCCAATTGGTCCTCTTACTGCTGCCTCAGCACTCTATTTCAATTTTCCCCCCACACAAGTCAAGCAAGCCTTTGCTCTATGCTAGGTTTCTCGCACTTCTTATTGTGAACTGACAGAAAGGACTTATGAAACCTGGAAGTCTTCAGCCCAAAACTTGTCCAAACAAACATGGGCTATAGTAGCCCAATTTCTTGAGTAACATTATTTCATTACTATTAGCTCTGAGGATAAGCTATGTTAATTTCTTAAAACTATTAATAATATTACCAGGAACAAATTTATACGTTTGTTTTTTTTCTTCTAATCACTGCTCTTGGCCTGTAAAATATTCACAACAAAAGACAGAAAAGTTTAATTTAAGCAGGGCATTTTTTTTCTCATTTCTAATGAAATGTAAAACATTGTTATAAACAAGAGATAAAAATATACAGTTGAAATCAAACTAACCATAATTACAAGTATATCTGTTTCATAGGATCTGTCCATTAAATCATAATACATGTGTGGTTGGCACGGTGGCACAGTTGGTAAGCAGTAGCTCAGGAGGGTTAATTTGCAAGTCCTGGCTGTTCCACTTTCAATCGAGCTGCCTGATAATGCGCCTGAAGAGGCAGCATATGATAGCTCATATACCTGAGTCCTGTCCAGCCACGGGAAGAGCCAGAGGGAGATCCAGGCATTATTGCCCTTTGGGAAGTAAATCAATGGATGGAAAATCTTTCTTGAATGCTGCCTTTCAAGTAAATTAACAAATTTATTTAAAAAAACTTTACAGTTGCACTTGAGTACACTAGAAAAGAAATATATTTTCATACATATACTTACTTGACATTCCAAGATGTCAGAAGTTAGAAAATATTGTTTTAGTGTGCAATTAAACTGAAAAGTTAACTAATTTGTTTAACAAGAAACAGCTAAGAAAATGTAGGTTTGTGAGTACAGCCCAAATCTTGTATTTCTGTGACTTTTTCTTCCCATCTCTTTCTTCTCTCCTCTCCCTCTCCCCTTCCTTTCCTCTCTCTCTTTTCTTTTTTCTCTTTGCAATTTGAAAAGGCATTCTTTGATTTGTATATCTAGAACAAGGACAGAAACAAAAGAGAATTCAAGAAAGAAAAATGAATAAAGCTAACATGATATATTTTACTAAGAGCGTTTAGCATATTGCCTTATTTTATTTACTGCTATGAATTTCTTCATCAAGTTATTTTCTTTTTCATTTGAAAGTCAGAGTTACAGCCAGAAAGAGTAAAACAGAGATACTTTCCATCCACTGGTTCACTCCCAAGATGGCCACAATGGCCAGGGCTGTGCCAGGCTGAGGCCAGGAATTTGCAGTTTCTTCTGGCTTCATCATGCAGGTGGCAGGAACACAAGCACTTGGGTCACCTTCTGCTTTTTTCCCCAGGCCATTAGCAGGGAGCTTGATCAGAAGTACAGCAGCTAAGACATGAAGTACAGCAGCTAGGACAGCATTACAGCTGGTGGTTTTCCCCACCATGCTACAACACTGGCCTCTTCGAACATAATTTCTATCCACATGGCAAATGAGAAAGCTATGGTTTATGGAGGTTGAATGATTTTAAGATCTTGCAGAGGTCTAAAGAGATATATCTAGATGTATTTCTAGATTACAGGGCATACTACAATATTATACTATAATTATACTTGAGCTCTCTGGCCCAGACTGTTCCACAAACATAAAACCATAATCGGGCCCAGTGCAATGGTTCAGTTGGTTAATTCTCTATTTCTAAGTAATGGGATCCCATATGAGCACAAGTTCTTGTCCCAGCTGCTTCACTTCTTTTCCAGCACCCACCTTAGAACCTGGAAAAGTGGCAAAGGATGGCTCAAAGCAATGGGAACCTGCAACTGCATTAGGACACCAAGAAGAAGCTCCTGGCTCCTGGCTTCAGATTGGCTCTGCTCTGGACAATGTGGCCATGTGGGAAGTGAACTAGCGGATGGAAGATCTTTCTCTCTGTATCTGATTTCCTCTGTAAATAGGCATTTCAAATATAAATTTAAAAACATTTTTAAGAAGAATGAACAACTTTAAGTTGGATTTCAAGATCTTTAAAAGACACAAGCTCTCTCTCCTGTGCTTTTTATAGCTGCTTTTTGTGTTTGTAAGGCCCAGCTTGAGCTGTTGTAGCCATCTGGAGAGTGAACCTCTGGACAGATCTTTCACTCACTCTCTCTCTTCCTCTTCTCTCTCCATAATGTTGCCAACAATTACATAAATAATTCCTTAAAAACAATGTTACATAAAATTTTATTAGCTATTCTAAACTGCAGAGTTGTTCATGCAAAGCAGACTCATTTCTGTATATTTTTCAAAGATTTACTTTCGATTTCAAGTAGACTATGATAAGAAGGGGATGGAAAGAGGCGTAAATGAGGAATACTTTGACTCTGAAGGGAAGAAGGGATGCCCTTGTCTGTTCTGACCTACATAGAACCCATTGAGAGGCAGCCTCATGAGTTACAGTCCACTGAAATTGTTTGGAATTGTTAACTACTCTCTCAGGCAACAGTAAGACCAACTATCTATCTGATTTAAAAGTAAAGCAACATAGAGCCTATTGCCTTTGACACTTCATTGAAATTTTGTAATCCATTTGAGTGTAGGAACACTGTTCTTTTGAGAGAATTATATTCAGAAATAAAATAAAGATGGATTATGCAGAGTGATAGAGAGAAACTATAACAATTTCTAAAAATGTTTAATTATTTGCAATGTAATATCTAATGGTCTTGGAGCATTTTCCTTTCATGGAAAGAAAACCCATGAAATTTTATATACTTCCAATCTCTAAACACTTAAATACAACTGAGTATCAGTGACATGTCCTTATAAAATAGACACAATACTGAAGAGCATTACAAATACTTCTAAATGTATTTGAATTAAAAAACAGAATTGCTAAACAAAGAAAATCTCACTTCCAAGTACAGTAAAATTATATTGGATGGAAAATATGGGCAGAGAATTATACTTGGTGATATATAAGTTTCTGTCCACATTTTAAGATCATAGAAGTGTGGCACAGCAAGGGAAGCCTGTGGTGCCAGCATTCCACATGAGCCCCAGTCAGAGTCCCAGCTGCTGCAATTCAAATGCAGCATCCTGCTAACACACCAGGCAAAGCAGCACAAGATTGAGTTCTTAGGCCCCCTGTCACCCTTGTGGGAGACCCGGATGGAGTTTCAGGCTCCTGGATTCAGCCTGGCCCAGCCCAAAGCATTGCTGTAATTTGAGGGGTATGTGAAACAATAGATCAATCATTCTCTCTCTCTTGCTCCCTCTCCTCTCACCCACTTCTCAAATGAATAAATAAACATTTGAAACAAAAGATTATGCAGTTGTTATTCTTTAAACTTACCTAAATATTTTGGATAAAAATAATCCTAGAAGAAAGAAAGAAAACATATTTTAGCAAGCTTAAATCTCATTACAGTTAATTTCATAAAGTCTTTTTATAATAAAGATTCAACCAAATCATAGACATTGTCATTATAACAAGAAATGATGACTAAAAAAACTAAGCCATCAAAACATTTAGACTTAACGGATCAACTAAATAGGCCAACTAAATTAAGTTTTAAAATCTTCCAATTTATAAACAATTTCTATTTAAGATAAAAATGCTAACTTTTCCATAACACTTAGATCTATAAAAATTTATTTTTATATCCTAAATTCCCTATACCAGATTCAATATTGAATATCAGTGACATAATTTGAAGTGAATTAAGTTGAACATTTATTTCATAGGATCTTACATACATATAATACCTTACTTATTGGTCCTGTATTGAAAGTTTGTCTGTGAATCAGTAATTTGACTAAAAAATGTCCATTACCAAAAAGAGAAAATTTTTTTAAATTTCCCAGGATGGCCCACAAAAGCATTCTTAAGACATAAAATATACATAATGTGTAACATTAGTAGAACAAAAACAACTTATAAGAAACCAAAATCTACAAAGATAACCAAAAACATATTCAATGCTCCAAGTCAGTAAGAAGAATATTTTCATCCTACCAAGAAGTTGCCAAGAAGACAACGTGTTGTGCTCTGCAGAAGAGAATACACAAGGATAAAAAACCAACAAGTAGGGTTCGAAAGGAGATGAGTGAAACAAATATTCTAGGAAAAGTGGAGGATTTAAACCACAGGATAAAGCCTGGGAATGTAGCTAGGGTATCTACAATGTTACAAGTACACATTCAAGTATTTATGAGTGATGCAAAAATATTTTTTTTCTTGTCCATTGTTAATATGCAAAAATGCAACAACAAAATGGAGAAACATTTTGATTCAACAATTCTAAAGAATATAAAAGTTTGAACTGGTAGAGCTAAAAAAAAAAAGAATGAAAGAATACTTCTTGTGCCCCACACAAGTTAGTCTTCTCACTTTGGATAAATGTTTTAGAAAAAATTTATCTACTTTTTATCTTTTATCAATTCCCATGGTTCTGGGAGCCATGGGAAAGATAGAGCAGCATTTTGAACAAGATTCCCAATCTTCATTTTCCTTTAGCTTTCATTTCAGGAATTATCAAAAGTCCTGTTGAGACTCTTGGTTAGGCAGCCTACCTTTCCTGCTGCTACCCACATATTATGTAAGAACATCGTCCCCTCTCCTAGGAAAATTAGGGGACTAAAGAGCTGGGATTCTTCTGTACCATCTGATAGTTACCAGGGTCTTTGGATTACATTTTTCCAAGTTAACTTAGAAAATGTTACACAGTAAAGGCATAATTTGTAATATCAGAAGCTAGTGGCGTATAAAGGGAGGTCAGCAAACTTCTCAAGTGCTGATAGACTCAATGAAGGTACACTTGGTGTACACAGAAATGTAAAGAGCTCTTCCTTTGGCATCCACTGAAAACCTGCTAGTTACAAACTCGGCATTAGATGTCCCTGCTTTCTAAAGCTTGGTTAAAATTGATGTCAATGAAAAATTTAAGGGAGCATGGTGATAAAAACAGGAACAAAGACACACCATACTTGAGATGTTCTCCCTTCTAGCCCGAATGTAAGTGAATTCCAATTGGAAGACAATATTTGTAACACTATTTGTTGATAATGAAGTGTGAATGAATTATAGTTTGGTCAAAGCACATTGTGGTATCTTTCTCATGAGCCCACTTTCATTTGAAGTTACTCTTGAAATGGAAATGTTTATCTGCAGAAAGGGACATGTAAAACCATTAACTTTAAAATGGAATGCAAAAAAAAAAAAAAAACTTCAAGCTAGAAACATTCAGTCTATGATTATATGTCCAGGTATGTGAACTTGATGGTTTCTACAAATTCTTACCGTTTCAGGGTCATTTTCAAAGACCTCCCTGGCTTCTTCTTTATTGCACAATTCTTCAATGCATTCTCGTTCAAGATTACCCTTTTTGGTTTCTTCAAGCATAGAATTTGCACGACGTTTTCTAACCAGGAATTGTGAAGCATGTTGCTTTGTTAAAACTGAGGGGAAAAATAAATTTATACGAGTAGGTCTTTTTATTTATTCTTCCACCTAACATTTATTTTTATTAAACATAAATGTTAAAATATTTTTCAGCCCATGCATGAAAGTTTGCTTTACCACACTGGAAATGAAAACACAGTTAAGTAACTGTGTCAGAAGTCACCTTCATATTATCTTTAAAGCAAGAGTAAACATACTTTCATAAATTGAATGGAAAACTTCTGTCATCTCTGAAAAGAAATAAAGAACTATGGGTGTACAATAAAACAAGCTATTTTCAAGGTATCTGGCAGACTAAAACATCTGATTATGTATATGAACAAAAAAACAAGAATACTTGGAATGGTGGAGACCACGTGCAAAGCACAAAATGCAAACAGCAAAGAAAAATTGGTAACCCGCAATGCCAGCAACCATGTATGGGCCAGTTCAAGTCCTAGCTGCTCCACTTCCACTTCATCTCCCTGCTACTGCACCTGAGAAAACAAATGCTTGGTCCCCTTCACCTATGCAAGATACATGGAAGAAGCTCCTGGCTCTTGATCCAGCCAAGAAGTTTCAGCTATTTCAGCCATCTGGGGAGTGAACCAGATGAGAGATTTAAGATCTCTCTATTTCTGCCTTTCTCTAACTGCCTCCCAAATTAAATTAAAAACAAGCAAATAAAAAACAACAACAACAAAAAAAACCCTGAATTACATGGAATAAATTATATCCAGAATTTGTAAGTCATTTTTGTAAATTAAAAGCAACAAGCCAACCAAAATATCACTGTATGTAAGATTACATACAAAATTACTTAAACATTACAAATAAAATATAAAGGAAAATGGTTCATAGATCAAGAAATTCAAAATATTCTATGTATCCTTCAGGAAGGAAAAAAAAACAAACATAAGTTTAATACCTATCAATTGTGGAGTAATGTGTTGATGTTAAAAAAAGGATGGGGCTCAGCACAATAGCCTAGCGACTAAAGTCCTCGCCTTGCACACCCGAGATCCCATATGTGCCCCAGTTCAAATCCCAGTGACCACAATTCCCATCCAGCTCCCGGCCTGAGGCCTGGGAAAGAAGCTGAGGATGGCCCAAAGCTTTGGGACCCTGTATCCACGTGAAAGACCCACAAGAAACTCCTGGCTCCTGGCTTCAGGCTTCAGATTGGCTCAGTTCTGGTTGTTGTGGCAAGTTAAGGAGTGAACTAGCGAATGGAAGATCTTCCTCTCTCTCTCCTCTGTATATCTGACTTTCTAAGAAAATAATGATAATAATAAATCTTTTTAAAAAGAAGGATGACCAGGAAATGTGAGGCCTAGCAGTTAAACACAGGCTGGGGCTGTAGGGTCTATGTGCTAGGTCTGCTCCTGACTCTGACTTTTGCTAATTGCACAAACAGTTACAGCAGGTGACATGTTAAGCAGCTGTGTTCCTGCTACCCCTATGAAAGATCTGTAATGGGTTTCCAGCTCCAAGGCCGAGCTTGACGCATGCCCAGCCACTGTGGCCATTTGAGAAGTGAATCAGCCAATGGCATTTTTATCTATGTTTCAATCAGTAACTTTGAGATTTATTTTATTTTTATTGGAAAGAATGATATACAGAGGAGGAGAGACAGAGAGGAAGATGCTCCGTCTGCTGGTTCACTCCCCAAGTGCCCGCAGTGGCCAAACTTGAGTCAATCCAAAGCCAGGAGCCAGAAGTTTCTTCCAGTTTTCCCACACCAGTGCAGGGTCCTAAGGCTTTGGACTGTGCTTAACTGCTTTCCTAGGCAACAAGCAGGGAGTTGGATGGGAAGCAGGGCTGCTGGGATTAGAACCAGTGCCAACATGGGACCCACTGTGTGCAAGGCGAGGACTTTAGCCACTAGGCTACCATGCCGGGCCCTCAATAACTTTTTTTTTTTAAGTAGAAAATAGTCTTGCACTGAGAATCTTCAAAAGCTTATACTTAGATTCTTAAATGAAAAATGTAGAAAACTTTATTTGTGAAGGGTAAATCAAGGTAGAATTTGAGGTTGTACCTATAAGCTATTTTTCATTGTATTTATCACGTCTGTTTAAGGATGAAGCCACATATGTATGTATACCACTCATGGACCCTGTGAAAATACTACCGATTAACAAACGTCAGCTTTGTCAACAGCGAAAAAGACTTACACAGAAATCATCTCAGTTATTTGAAGTAATGTATGCCATATAACATAGCAAAAACTTGGGCCTGACCTACAAAGCTTTGTGTAATTCTTTCTGGGAAAAAAATCAATAAAACTTTCAATGAATTATGAATGCATTGATTCAAAACAAAAACAAGTAAAGTTCATGTACCAAAATTAATAATAACTGTCACGAACATTTATTCATTGGCATTTCCTACAGAATCGGTTTGGAACAGACAGCTTAATGTTGCTTTTTCGGAAGATCACTCTCCCTCTGGCGCCTCCATAAAGGACACAGGTCCAGTCACACTCAGGGCAGTGAACAGGGAGGCTCTCAATCACTCAAGAAGACCGAAGGTGTAGTTTTAAAAATTTTCCACGTAAATATATAAAAGGAAATTGCATAGTCCCTGTTATTTTAGATCTGATAAAACTGAAGTAGAGAAATGCAATATATGTGTTCTAAATTATAAAGTTAATAAACAACAAGACCTAGTACAAGGTCGTCAACAATGCTCAAATCTGAAAAACACCCTCTATTATCTGAGGCTTCCCAGAACACAGGAAATTTTATTGATTCTATTTTTAAGAGAAATGTAGCAAAGGAAAAATTCTTGACCTTTTAACCTAAAGGAACATTGAAGCCAATTGTAAAAATTGAATTGTTCAAACATGCTGCACCAAATTTGTTTATTTTATTTCACACACATCCAGTCCAATAATGCTTTAAACTAGCGTGATATTTAATAGTTTTCAAAGTACATGCTATTTCATTTGATCTTTGCGAAAGTAAAAAAATAAACAACAGGAAAGAGAATTATTCCCATTTTTCTATGTAAAAAACTGAAGTTGAAAGAGGTTACATGATTTGCCCAAAGCCACAGGGCTAGCAAGATATGTAAATGAAATTCAAATACAGATGCATATTGTTAACTTGAAAATTCAATTAACACATCTAACCTACTAATGTTTCTGCTTGGGAACATGGTATGCTCTAATATACCACAGTGGTTTTCCTCCTAATCACGTAGCAAACTGGGAGCTGCTGCAGCACAGCCAGCTGCAAGAGAATCCTATCCCATATTTAAAATTCAAAGTACATTTTTGAAAGTATACCCCTTGAGCCTGGCATGGTATCCTGGTGGCTAAAGTCCTCGCCTTGCAAGTGTCGGGATCCCATATGGGCACCAGTTCTAATCCCGCAGATTCTGCTTTCCATCTAGCTCCATGTTTGTGGCCTAGAAAAGCAGTCAGAGATGACCCAAAGCCTTAGAACCCTGCACTTGTGTGGGAGACCCAGAGGAGGCTCCGGGCTCCTGACTTCAGATCGGTGCAGCTCTGGCCATTGCAGCATCTTGGGGACTTAATCAATGGATGGAAGATCTTCCTCTCTGTCTCTCCTCCTTTCTGTATATCTGACTTTCCAATAAAAAATAATAAATTAAATGAATCTTTAAACAAAAGAAAGTATACACCTTTGTGCCATGGTAAAGTCAAACAACTCTAGGTCAAATCACTGTAAGTTGGGAACTGAATCTCATTCTTTCACTCTAGTGCTCTTCCATCTGTGTAAAGTTGGTACCTTGTGTCTGGGATGCCCATACCCAAAGGTTCCAAGTTTATGGATGCAGCCAACCTTAGATTGAAATATTCTTGGATGCTATTTTTCCTGAGGTTTCCTGTATAGTAAGATGTTTGCATCTGTACTGATCATGTATACATTTCTTCATTTTTCCTCTTAATGATATAGTGTAACAACTATTTACAGAGCATTTACGTTGTCACAGGTATTGGAAATTTACAGATGATTTGAAGTATATGAGATGATGTACAAGGTTATAGCAATTATTATGGCATTTTATATGAGATTCGTGATTTTGGTATCTGTGAGATATCCTGGAATGATCTCACAGAAATATTGAAAGATAACTGTTGTCTGCTAGTGACATGTTATATACTTAATTGTTTTTTCAAAAATTATGTGGTAGAGCAAGAGGTAAGTCTGACATATGAAATAAAATTTTACTATCGTTTATGAAGTTAACCATCCACATGACACAGTGTGCTTCCAAGGAATATTCCAGGTTGAATGTACTCTACAAAATAATAAGCACAGGTTAAGACTTCCTAGAAAAGTCACCAAAGACATAGGCAGTCAAGGCCAAACTAAATAAATAGAACTACATCAAACTAACAGGCTTCTGTACAGCACAGCAAACAGTCTATGGAGTGAAGAGGCAACCAACAGCATGAGAAAAAATCCTTGAATACTACACTAAAGTTAAGGAACTAATATCCAAGATGCATAAAAAGCTCCAGAAACACAACAGTAAAACAGATAAAGCAGTTAAGAAATGGGCAAAGAAAATGAGCAAGCATTGTTCGAAGGAACAAATTCAAATGGCTAATAGACATATTTAAAAAAATGTTTAAGTTCCCTAGCAATAAAGAAAATACAAAGAAAAAGCACATTGCAGTCCCACATAACTCCAGCGAGAAGTGCTAACAACTAATAGCACCCACTGGAGAGGATGCAGGCAAAAAGGAACCTTACACCACTGCTGGTGGGATTGTAGACTTCATAAGACACTATAGAAATCAACATGCAGAGTACTCAGATAACACAAATTTCATCTACTGTATGGCCCAGCTATCTCACTTCGGGGAATATATTTATAAAAAGTGATACCTACATAGGAGAAAGCAACCTGCATCCCTAGATCCACAGCAGTGCTATCCACAATAGCAAAGACACAAAGATAACTCCGCTGTCCATTGAAAGAGGACTGGGCAAAGAAACCATGGTACATCCACTCTATGGAATACTACTTAGCCATTTAA